GTCACACGAACCTACCCCGCACCATGCCCCGAACCACTCGGGAGCGTTGCAACACACGGCTTTCGCGGTCGAAGCAGTGGCTGGCCTACTTGCTTCAGGCGCGGCCCGCATCGTCCCGGCCGAGGAGCCGGTCACCTGTGTTAGCCCACTAAACGTGGTTGTTCAGCCTTCTAAGAAACGACTTATACTGGACCTACGGCATGTAAATTCATTCCTTTCCATCCCTCGATTCCGGTACGAAGGACTCAACAGGGTCCCCGACCTAGTCCATAAAGGCGATTGGTTGTTCACCATCGACCTCAAGTCGGGTTATCACCACGTGGACATTCACCCGTCATTTTGGCGGTTCCTCGGATTTTCCCTGCAAGGCCAACGATACCAGTTTCTGTCACTACCCTTCGGGCTTGCTACAGCGCCCTTCGTGTTCACACAGCTAATTAAGCAGTTGGCAAAGCGTTGGCGCAGTAGAGGGATCCGATTAATTCCGTACGTTGACGACCTTTTGTTCATATGCGCTACGCGAACCGAAGCGTTCCGGACCCGCACCATCATTCTAGACGACCTCGGGTCCGCAGGTTTTATCGTCAACACGGACAAATCACATCTCGAACCGTCGCAACGGCTTAAATTCCTTGGCCTCATATTGGATACTAGTACAACATCCTTCTCCGTCGACGTTACCCGTCGAGATCGGTTGTTCGACGAGCTCGAGCAAATTTTTCAGATCAGCACACAGGGGCGTCGCATCCCGGTTCGACGCGCAGCTAGGGTGACAGGCATGCTAGCTTCCATGGCTATGGCGCTTGGTACCATAGCCCGTGCATTCTCACATAACCTGATCTCTCAAATCAGTGCGTGTCAATCCTGGGGAGACTCCATCCGTTTGACGTCGGAGTCGATCGACGAGTTGCGATTCTGGCTGACACAGTTCGACGTTTTCAATGGTTCCTGCTTCCACAACCCAAATGTGTACGACATCGTCATGTACGTCGATGCAAGCGACCATGCTTGGGGAAGCTGTTACTCCACGCCAGATGGCCGTGTCGGCTCGCAATCCTTCCGATTTCCCCAGTCACTATCAGTCGCATCGAGCACGCTTCGCGAACTCGCCGGGATTCTCTGGGCACTGTCGACCTTTAGCTGCGAGATCCAACGCTCGCACGTCCTACATCGAAGCGAGAGTCAAGCGGCCTACTATATTCTAAAAAAGGGTGGTTCTCGCCAAGCCAACCTCACTCTCATCTGCCGCGCCATTATCACACTTTGTGTGCATCACAAGATTCGATTAACGGCGCAATGGATCCCCCGCGAACTCAATACCGAAGCCGACGCCCTTTCAAAGATTGACCTACACGACGACTACTCTCTCGCACGGACGTGGTTCCTTTTACTCGAGCGCCACTGGGGCCCACATTCAATCGACCTATTTTCCTCGTCCTCCAACGCACAATTACGCCGGTTTTCCTCCCTAGACTATCATCCGCATGCGGTCGCCCAAGACGCGTTCTCTCTTAGTTGGAACGGTGAAAATTGCTACGCCTTCCCACCGCCGTCCATGATCCCCGTCGTCCTCGCCCACGCGCGTCGATCTCGTACTACAATAACTCTCGTTATCCCGGAATGGCCTAGCGCCTTCTGGTGGCCACTACTTTGCCCAGACGGCACTACGTGGGCGCATGATATACGGGCGAGCATATATCTCGCTCACGGTCCAACATGTCTACGTGTTGGTAGTGATACGCTGGCCTTTAGTGGTGCCGGTATCCCCCATTCGCATATGTATGCTCTTCGTTTGATATATACTAATCCATAGCCTTGTAAACATGCAGGTTCATATATTGGACGTTTGATGGGGGACCTCTTAACGCTTACTGTCGATTTGCGCGCCCAATCCACGATCCGCACATACGAAACCTACTGGCGACAGTATCGCACATTCTGTCAAGAGCATTCGTTGTCGTTTCTCCCTGCCACGGACCTAACATCCGCGCTATTCTTACTGCACTCAGTACGCAGGGGTGCCACGGTCTCCGCCGTGAGATCTGCCTGCTCTGCAATTTCTTGCGCCCACTGGTTGGTCGGCTGCCCATCTCCTATTCGAGGACCGCTCTCCTCACAAGTAAAGGAGTACGCGAAACGACACTGCGGCAAACCTTCCGTGCCAAAGGAACCTATACCCCCTGCTAAGATTTATGACATTTGCGATATCTACTTCTCGTCGACGGATCCTGCCATCTTCCAGCGCGGTCTCATCCCTCTTCTTATGTTTGCAGCTTTCCTGCGCTTCTCCGACCTCGTTGCCCTTCAATGGCACCAAATCGAGTTCGACCGCGACTGCATGTGGCTGTTCATCCCCCGCTAAAAAACGGACCAGGCCGGCACAGGCGCCTGGGTCCCAGTCGCCGCCTCTTCTGCCCGCCACTGCCCTGTCACTCGCGTACGGCAATTTCTCTTCCTCGCTGGCTTCTCTGCGCAAACCTTAGGCCCCCTTATTCGGGTGTTCCCGCCTGCTGCGCGGGCTTCGCCATCCGATCGATCCCCATCCTACGCCACGGTCCGAGGCTGGTGTCGCGAGGCATTTTGTCGTGTTGGCCTCAACCCGAATCTGCTCGGCACGCATTCCTTTCGCAAGTCTGCCGCCACCGTGGCTGTCGATGTTGGCGTGCCTGATCGCCTCTTCAAGGCCCTCGGCCGGTGGCGTAGCGACAAGGCTCGGGAGTTGTACGTCACCCAGTTGGACCGCGAGTTGGTGACGGCATCGCATACCCTTCAGGATCCGACGAGACCTAGCTCTACCTACCGTTACGCATCCACTCTCGCACGCCATCGTCATCCTCCGCCTATTTGATGTCTCGTTTACCTATGACGACTGCACTGCACACTCCTCGGAGAGTCGTGTCACAATATGTAAAAATTTTAAAGTTAAACTTCTAAAAATTTGAAGATTGTGATTCGACTAGAAGAGGAGTTTGCTGTAAAGGAGACAAACTCCTTTTCATTCCCGCAGGTCTCTCAGACCTGCCACCTAGTCTCATTTGCATTTTCAGATCTCCAATTTGCTTCCCTCCCACCCAATTCCCTTTTTTTTAGTTACATAGAGTTTATGATACCCTATTTGAATACTCATTGTTATTGCTCATTTGAGTGTGCTGTACAAATGGGATTTGTAATGCTATGACGACTGCACTGCACACTGTCATGTCCAGGTGCTACCTACCATGCAGTTAGGACGCGGTGCAAGTGCAAATATCGCAGGATCGTCTGCAAATATCGAGCCCCAAAATCGAGTGGGCAGATCGATTGGTGAAACGTGGCGACCGCGACGTTGTAACGATCGCCCCTTTAGAATTGACAGATCTCCCACGAGCAGTGATCAGTCGCATTCGCACACCGTACAGAAATTTTGGCAAAAAAGAGTACTGTAGCATGGTTACAGCATAGTAAATAGGGTAACCGATCCGCACATCGATCGTGACTAACGATCGATCGTCCACTTTTACCGCGTCCTTAGGGCGAGCAGTTGGACAAGGAAAGTGGGCTGCTGGTAAGGTAAATATGGCACCCTCCTTGTGTTTCCGCGACAGAGTGCCGCACGTACCTGATGGGCACATTTATGTGCATTCGGGGACAAACTACAGAATATTGATGTGTCAAATTCTCAAACAAGAGCTAACTGTGGTTCTGTAAGATCACCATTATAGAACAATCTAAACCTTGTACAACGTAATCCTGCCCAATAGCTGGCATCCAAGTATCCGTGGCAAGAATAGAATTGTACTTGAGAAGGTGAATTACCCTGAAAGTAGGGAACGTACCCTGTAAGCACCTAGAGGTGGTTGATTGTGGTGGACCTTACTACGGTACACACTGAGGGATTATGGTATGAGGCTTGCCTGATACGGTACAATGCACGAAGTGTTTGGGATTTAGGTAAACTTCAGTGTGATGCTACGCGAGTCTGATACCGTATTCTCCCGGATAAAACACCCCCCCGTAATTGTACACCCCCGGGTAGCTAATACGGGGTGGGTGTTACGGTATATCCGACCCCGTTTGTACTATACCCCCCCTTTTGGGGTGATTTTCTATAACACCCCCTTTTCTTATAGATTCCTATTATAGCTGTTATCGAGTCCGATTCCTTACGGGAGGATATCGCGAGAATTGCTCCCTAGGTGAAATTTCGCGTGTACTTTCACTTAAAATCTGCCAAGATTTCCCCCCTCCCACAATCTCGCTGTCGCCACGCTGGCGAATCTTCCGCTGCAAGTGGGCCAATAGGTGAAAATCACCTTCTCACATGAGGCACAGACAGACACGTGACCAAACCAGTCAAGAAGTGACTGGTACAGTAAGAACGCACCACCGTGCGCGATTCTGGCCTCGGCGGTTGCATGAACCCTCGCCACGCAATTGGCTTTGTTTTCACCCTATCAAGTGCCAAAATTGCCCACTCGAATATGCCACGTGGCAGATTCCAGTGGGCGGTCACGTCATCCTCGTATGCTCGGTTTTGCGGCACTGGTCAACAATCTTGAAGTGAAGTCAGACACCTGATTTTGTTTCACATCTTTTCTACTTGATAAAAAATATACCATATAATAAGACCCGGGTATTATGTAGGATTTTCCTTTGAGGAGACCCCCCCCCCCATTTTTTCCCAGTGGTTTTCATAATACCCTAGGGTGTTTTATCCGGGAGAATACGGTAAGAGGTTGGTCTGATACCGTAAGGGGCAGTAGTAGGAACACGCCCTGAACCTGAAGATACCAGTACAAGGGTGGTCTGGTTTTCTACACCACATCGTGGATCTAAGGATGTCACGACGGTCAAGCAACTTGCAATTTGTTCATCCCATCACTCCCGCAACTTCAAGGGTGGCATTGACATAGGGTAAGCTGTAGGTACATGCGGAGCCATGCGTCAGGTACGCATTGCATGCCGCGTGCATGCAGGTGCGACTATCACCAACCCTCCCCCCCACGTGCACAAGGCGAGGGTCATGCGTAGTGGGGCACGGGGAGGAAGGGAAAGGGAGCAGCCGAGTAATACGCCACCGGGGGGAGACTCGCCCTCCTCCTGCTCTCACCCCTCTCGCCACTCCCTGCTGCCTCCCATGCCCTCCTCGCCCCGGCCTCCCCCCATGCCTTCTGCCCCACCTCCTCCCTCGCCCCCTGCTCTCCCGCTGTTGCTCCCCCTACCCCACTCTCGCCTGCACCTGCCATCACTGCAGGAGCGTGGGAGGGAAGCGGCGCATGAGTGAGTGCGGGCGCGGGGGCGGGGGAGAGAGCATGGGCGGGGAGGGGGTGGTGGGGGAGGCGGTGCAGCAGCATGGCGGCCATGAGGGCGGGCAGGAAGAGCAGGCTGGCGCGGAACAGCTGCCTGGCTGACGCTGACGAGGGGCTGCGATAGAAGGGCACTGCCGCTGCTGTGAACGCCCCCGTTAGCAGCACGTTCTCCCATAGGAACGGCGCTGTCGTGCACCCCACTGTGAGGGAAGGGGGGAACGAGGTGGGGGTGAGCGGAGGGAAGGAGGTATGGAGTGAGAAGGTCGAGGGATGAGATGGGTGAGGGATGAGATGGGTGAGGGATGAGATGGGTGAGAGATGAGATGGGTGAGGGATGAGATGGGTGAGGGATGAGATGGGTGAGGGATGAGATGGGTGAGGGATGAGATGGGTGAGGGATGAGATGGGTGAGGGATGAGATGGGTGAGGGATGAGATGGGTGAGGGATGAGATGGGTGAGGGATGAGATGGGTGAGGGATGAGATGGGTGAGGGATGAGATGGGTGAGGGATGAGATGGGTGAGGGATGAGATGGGTGAGGGATGAGATGGGTGAGGGATGAGATGGGTGAGGGATGAGATGGGTGAGGGATGAGATGGGTGAGGGATGAGATGGGTGAGGGATGAGATGGGTGAGAGATAAGCATCTGAGGTATTGAGAGCATGGCTGGGGAAAGGAGGTGAGAGAAGGAGTGTGCATGCAGATGGGGGGAGTGGGGAGTGCAAGGAGCGAGATGGCATGGGCAGAGACACGAATGGGCTGAAGTGATGAGACGAGAGGGCAGGCAAGCGCGGAGCCATTGGAAAAGATGAAGGGTCAAGGAAATGGGACCATGAATGGGTGGAGGGGTAGGGACGGTGGGGAGGGCGGGGAGGGCGGGGAGGGCGCACGGGAGACGGCAGCGAGTCCCAGTGGCAGCATGTAGCAGCAGTTGCGCAGCGCTGCTGCCGCTGTGCGCCGCCCCGTGGGGTCTGCCAGAGACAGCATGCGGTAGCTGTGTGGGGGCAGGGTGGGGGCGGAGGGGAGGAGTAGGGGAGAGAGGGAGGGGAGAGGTGACTCTTGAGTTGACTCAGAGTCCATCTCGCAGTGCTTCTGCTGCTGTGCGCCGCCCTGTGGGGTCCGCTAGTGACAGCATGCGGTAGCTGTGGGGGGGAAAGGGGAGAGGAGTGGGGGAGAGGGGGAGGGGAAAAGTGGCTTTTGAGTTGACTCAAAATCCATCTTGCGGCGCTGCTGCTGCTGTGCGCCGCCCTAAGGGGTCCCCGAGAGACAGCATGCGGTAGCTGTGGGGGGGGGGAGCCGAAGGTGGGGAGTGGGGGAGGCAGGGTGGGAAGTACAGAGGCAGGGGGGGGAAAGTACAGAGGCAGGGGGTGAGGCGAGGGGATACAGTGAACGGCATGAGGCAGCATGAGAAGATGAGCAAAAGTGAACTGATGGGAGGAGAGGACAGAATCAGGCGGGGCCATAATCAGCTGTGCAGCCTCACAAATGCTGAGTTGCCCCCCCCCACACACATACCTCCCTGCAGCATGGTCAACCCCCAGCCTCTCCCCTCACATACCCCCTTTGCAGTGGAGTCAACCCGTCCCCCCTCACCCCCACACATACCCCCCGCGCCCCCCCCCCCTCGTCTTTCACTCACCCCCCAGCAGCATAGTCCTTGCGGCATCTGCCACAGGTACAATGCACCCGCTAGCACTGCTGCACCCCACTCCAGCCCATTGTGTGTTGAGTGAGTGCTCCCCCCTACCCCTACAGACACCCCCCTGTAGCATCGTCTGCCCCACCCTTCACTCACCCCCCAGCAGCATAGTCCTTGCGGCATCTGCCACAGGTACAATGCACCCGCTAGCACTGCTGCACCCCACTCCAGCCCATTGTGTGTTGAGTGAGTGCTCCCCCCTACCCCTACAGACACCCCCCTGTAGCATCGTCTGCCCCACCCTTCACTCACCCCCCAGCAGCATAGTCCTTGCGGCATCTGCCACAGGTACAATGCACCCGCTAGCACTGCTGCACCCCACTCCAGCCCATTGTGTGTTGAGTGAGTGCTCCCCCCTACCCCTACAGACACCCCCCTGTAGCATCGTCTGCCCCACCCTTTCACTCACCCCCCAGCAGCATAGTCCTTGCGGCATCTGCCACAGGTACAATGCACCCGCTAGCACTGCTGCACCCCACTCCAGCCCATTGTGTGTTGAGTGAGTGCTCCCCCCTACCCCTACAGACACCCCCCTGTAGCATCGTCTGCCCCACCCTTTCACTCACCCCCCAGCAGCATAGTCCTTGCGGCATCTGCCACAGATACAATGCACCCGCTAGCACTGCTGCACCCCACTCCAGCCCATTGTGTGTTGAGTGAGTGCTCCCCCCTACCCCTACAGACACCCCCCTGTAGCATCGTCTGCCCCACCCTTCACTCACCCCCCAGCAGCATAGTCCTTGCGGCATCTGCCACAGGTACAATGCACCCGCTAGCACTGCTGCACCCCACTCCAGCCCATTGTGTGTTGAGTGAGTGCTCCCCCCTACCCCTACAGACACCCCCCTGTAGCATCGTCTGCCCCACCCTTTCACTCACCCCCCAGCAGCATAGTCCTTGCGGCATCTGCCACAGGTACAATGCACCCGCTAGCACTGCTGCACCCCACTCCAGCCCATTGTGTGTTGAGTGAGTGCTCCCCCCTACCCCTACAGACACCCCCCTGTAGCATCGTCTGCCCCACCCTTCACTCACCCCCCAGCAGCATAGTCCTTGCGGCATCTGCCACAGGTACAATGCACCCGCTAGCACTGCTGCACCCCACTCCAGCCCATTGTGTGTTGAGTGAGTGCTCCCCCCTACCCCTACAGACACCCCCCTGTAGCATCGTCTGCCCCACCCTTTCACTCACCCCCCAGCAGCATAGTCCTTGCGGCATCTGCCACAGGTACAATGCACCCGCTAGCACTGCTGCACCCCACTCCAGCCCATTGTGTGTTGAGTGAGTGCTCCCCCCTACCCCTACAGACACCCCCCTGTAGCATCGTCTGCCCCACCCTTCACTCACCCCCCAGCAGCATAGTCCTTGCGGCATCTGCCACAGGTACAATGCACCCGCTAGCACTGCTGCACCCCACTCCAGCCCATTGTGTGTTGAGTGAGTGCTCCCCCCTACCCCTACAGACACCCCCCTGTAGCATCGTCTGCCCCACCCTTCACTCACCCCCCAGCAGCATAGTCCTTGCGGCATCTGCCACAGGTACAATGCACCCGCTAGCACTGCTGCACCCCACTCCAGCCCATTGTGTGTTGAGTGAGTGCTCCCCCCTACCCCTACAGACACCCCCCTGTAGCATCGTCTGCCCCACCCTTTCACTCACCCCCCAGCAGCATAGTCCTTGCGGCATCTGCCACAGGTACAATGCACCCGCTAGCACTGCTGCACCCCACTCCAGCCCATTGTGTGTTGAGTGAGTGCTCCCCCCTACCCCTACAGACACCCCCCTGTAGCATCGTCTGCCCCACCCTTTCACTCACCCCCCAGCAGCATAGTCCTTGCGGCATCTGCCACAGGTACAATGCACCCGCTAGCACTGCTGCACCCCACTCCAGCCCATTGTGTGTTGAGTGAGTGCTCCCCCCTACCCCTACAGACACCCCCCTGTAGCATCGTCTGCCCCACCCTTCACTCACCCCCCAGCAGCATAGTCCTTGCGGCATCTGCCACAGGTACAATGCACCCGCTAGCACTGCTGCACCCCACTCCAGCCCATTGTGTGTTGAGTGAGTGCTCCCCCCTACCCCTACAGACACCCCCCTGTAGCATCGTCTGCCCCACCCTTTCACTCACCCCCCAGCAGCATAGTCCTTGCGGCATCTGCCACAGGTACAATGCACCCGCTAGCACTGCTGCACCCCACTCCAGCCCATTGTGTGTTGAGTGAGTGCTCCCCCCTACCCCTACAGACACCCCCCTGTAGCATCGTCTGCCCCACCCTTCACTCACCCCCCAGCAGCATAGTCCTTGCGGCATCTGCCACAGGTACAATGCACCCGCTAGCACTGCTGCACCCCACTCCAGCCCATTGTGTGTTGAGTGAGTGCTCCCCCCTACCCCTACAGACACCCCCCTGTAGCATCGTCTGCCCCACCCTTTCACTCACCCCCCAGCAGCATAGTCCTTGCGGCATCTGCCACAGGTACAATGCACCCGCTAGCACTGCTGCACCCCACTCCAGCCCATTGTGTGTTGAGTGAGTGCTCCCCCCTACCCCTACAGACACCCCCCTGTAGCATCGTCTGCCCCACCCTTCACTCACCCCCCAGCAGCATAGTCCTTGCGGCATCTGCCACAGGTACAATGCACCCGCTAGCACTGCTGCACCCCACTCCAGCCCATTGTGTGTTGAGTGAGTGCTCCCCCCTACCCCTACAGACACCCCCCTGTAGCATCGTCTGCCCCACCCTTTCACTCACCCCCCAGCAGCATAGTCCTTGCGGCATCTGCCACAGGTACAATGCACCCGCTAGCACTGCTGCACCCCACTCCAGCCCATTGTGTGTTGAGTGAGTGCTCCCCCCTACCCCTACAGACACCCCCCTGTAGCATCGTCTGCCCCACCCTTTCACTCACCCCCCAGCAGCATAGTCCTTGCGGCATCTGCCACAGGTACAATGCACCCGCTAGCACTGCTGCACCCCACTCCAGCCCATTGTGTGTTGAGTGAGTGCTCCCCCCTACCCCTACAGACACCCCCCTGTAGCATCGTCTGCCCCACCCTTTCACTCACCCCCCAGCAGCATAGTCCTTGCGGCATCTGCCACAGGTACAATGCACCCGCTAGCACTGCTGCACCCCACTCCAGCCCATTGTGTGTTGAGTGAGTGCTCCCCCCTACCCCTACAGACACCCCCCTGTAGCATCGTCTGCCCCACCCTTCACTCACCCCCCAGCAGCATAGTCCTTGCGGCATCTGCCACAGGTACAATGCACCCGCTAGCACTGCTGCACCCCACTCCAGCCCATTGTGTGTTGAGTGAGTGCTCCCCCCTACCCCTACAGACACCCCCCTGTAGCATCGTCTGCCCCACCCTTCACTCACCCCCCAGCAGCATAGTCCTTGCGGCATCTGCCACAGGTACAATGCACCCGCTAGCACTGCTGCACCCCACTCCAGCCCATTGTGTGTTGAGTGAGTGCTCCCCCCTACCCCTACAGACACCCCCCTGTAGCATCGTCTGCCCCACCCTTTCACTCACCCCCCAGCAGCATAGTCCTTGCGGCATCTGCCACAGGTACAATGCACCCGCTAGCACTGCTGCACCCCACTCCAGCCCATTGTGTGTTGAGTGAGTGCTCCCCCCTACCCCTACAGACACCCCCCTGTAGCATCGTCTGCCCCACCCTTTCACTCACCCCCCAGCAGCATAGTCCTTGCGGCATCTGCCACAGGTACAATGCACCCGCTAGCACTGCTGCACCCCACTCCAGCCCATTGTGTGTTGAGTGAGTGCTCCCCCCTACCCCTACAGACACCCCCCTGTAGCATCGTCTGCCCCACCCTTCACTCACCCCCCAGCAGCATAGTCCTTGCGGCATCTGCCACAGGTACAATGCACCCGCTAGCACTGCTGCACCCCACTCCAGCCCATTGTGTGTTGAGTGAGTGCTCCCCCCTACCCCTACAGACACCCCCCTGTAGCATCGTCTGCCCCACCCTTCACTCACCCCCCAGCAGCATAGTCCTTGCGGCATCTGCCACAGGTACAATGCACCCGCTAGCACTGCTGCACCCCACTCCAGCCCATTGTGTGTTGAGTGAGTGCTCCCCCCTACCCCTACAGACACCCCCCTGTAGCATCGTCTGCCCCACCCTTCACTCACCCCCCAGCAGCATAGTCCTTGCGGCATCTGCCACAGGTACAATGCACCCGCTAGCACTGCTGCACCCCACTCCAGCCCATTGTGTGTTGAGTGAGTGCTCCCCCCTACCCCTACAGACACCCCCCTGTAGCATCGTCTGCCCCACCCTTTCACTCACCCCCCAGCAGCATAGTCCTTGCGGCATCTGCCACAGGTACAATGCACCCGCTAGCACTGCTGCACCCCACTCCAGCCCATTGTGTGTTGAGTGAGTGCTCCCCCCTACCCCTACAGACACCCCCCTGTAGCATCGTCTGCCCCACCCTTCACTCACCCCCCAGCAGCATAGTCCTTGCGGCATCTGCCACAGGTACAATGCACCCGCTAGCACTGCTGCACCCCACTCCAGCCCATTGTGTGTTGAGTGAGTGCTCCCCCCTACCCCTACAGACACCCCCCTGTAGCATCGTCTGCCCCACCCTTCACTCACCCCCCAGCAGCATAGTCCTTGCGGCATCTGCCACAGGTACAATGCACCCGCTAGCACTGCTGCACCCCACTCCAGCCCATTGTGTGTTGAGTGAGTGCTCCCCCCTACCCCTACAGACACCCCCCTGTAGCATCGTCTGCCCCACCCTTTCACTCACCCCCCAGCAGCATAGTCCTTGCGGCATCTGCCACAGGTACAATGCACCCGCTAGCACTGCTGCACCCCACTCCAGCCCATTGTGTGTTGAGTGAGTGCTCCCCCCTACCCCTACAGACACCCCCCTGTAGCATCGTCTGCCCCACCCTTTCACTCACCCCCCAGCAGCATAGTCCTTGCGGCATCTGCCACAGGTACAATGCACCCGCTAGCACTGCTGCACCCCACTCCAGCCCATTGTGTGTTGAGTGAGTGCTCCCCCCTACCCCTACAGACACCCCCCTGTAGCATCGTCTGCCCCACCCTTCACTCACCCCCCAGCAGCATAGTCCTTGCGGCATCTGCCACAGGTACAATGCACCCGCTAGCACTGCTGCACCCCACTCCAGCCCATTGTGTGTTGAGTGAGTGCTCCCCCCTACCCCTACAGACACCCCCCTGTAGCATCGTCTGCCCCACCCTTTCACTCACCCCCCAGCAGCATAGTCCTTGCGGCATCTGCCACAGGTACAATGCACCCGCTAGCACTGCTGCACCCCACTCCAGCCCATTGTGTGTTGAGTGAGTGCTCCCCCCTACCCCTACAGACACCCCCCTGTAGCATCGTCTGCCCCACCCTTTCACTCACCCCCCAGCAGCATAGTCCTTGCGGCATCTGCCACAGGTACAATGCACCCGCTAGCACTGCTGCACCCCACTCCAGCCCATTGTGTGTTGAGTGAGTGCTCCCCCCTACCCCTACAGACACCCCCCTGTAGCATCGTCTGCCCCACCCTTTCACTCACCCCCCAGCAGCATAGTCCTTGCGGCATCTGCCACAGGTACAATGCACCCGCTAGCACTGCTGCACCCCACTCCAGCCCATTGTGTGTTGAGTGAGTGCTCCCCCCTACCCCTACAGACACCCCCCTGTAGCATCGTCTGCCCCACCCTTTCACTCACCCCCCAGCAGCATAGTCCTTGCGGCATCTGCCACAGGTACAATGCACCCGCTAGCACTGCTGCACCCCACTCCAGCCCATTGTGTGTTGAGTGAGTGCTCCCCCCTACCCCTACAGACACCCCCCTGTAGCATCGTCTGCCCCACCCTTTCACTCACCCCCCAGCAGCATAGTCCTTGCGGCATCTGCCACAGGTACAATGCACCCGCTAGCACTGCTGCACCCCACTCCAGCCCATTGTGTGTTGAGTGAGTGCTCCCCCCTACCCCTACAGACACCCCCCTGTAGCATCGTCTGCCCCACCCTTCACTCACCCCCCAGCAGCATAGTCCTTGCGGCATCTGCCACAGGTACAATGCACCCGCTAGCACTGCTGCACCCCACTCCAGCCCATTGTGTGTTGAGTGAGTGCTCCCCCCTACCCCTACAGACACCCCCCTGTAGCATCGTCTGCCCCACCCTTTCACTCACCCCCCAGCAGCATAGTCCTTGCGGCATCTGCCACAGGTACAATGCACCCGCTAGCACTGCTGCACCCCACTCCAGCCCATTGTGTGTTGAGTGAGTGCTCCCCCCTACCCCTACAGACACCCCCCTGTAGCATCGTCTGCCCCACCCTTTCACTCACCCCCCAGCAGCATAGTCCTTGCGGCATCTGCCACAGGTACAATGCACCCGCTAGCACTGCTGCACCCCACTCCAGCCCATTGTGTGTTGAGTGAGTGCTCCCCCCTACCCCTACAGACACCCCCCTGTAGCATCGTCTGCCCCACCCTTTCACTCACCCCCCAGCAGCATAGTCCTTGCGGCATCTGCCACAGGTACAATGCACCCGCTAGCACTGCTGCACCCCACTCCAGCCCATTGTGTGTTGAGTGAGTGCTCCCCCCTACCCCTACAGACACCCCCCTGTAGCATCGTCTGCCCCACCCTTTCACTCACCCCCCAGCAGCATAGTCCTTGCGGCATCTGCCACAGGTACAATGCACCCGCTAGCACTGCTGCACCCCACTCCAGCCCATTGTGTGTTGAGTGAGTGCTCCCCCCTACCCCTACAGACACCCCCCTGTAGCATCGTCTGCCCCACCCTTCACTCACCCCCCAGCAGCATAGTCCTTGCGGCATCTGCCACAGGTACAATGCACCCGCTAGCACTGCTGCACCCCACTCCAGCCCATTGTGTGTTGAGTGAGTGCTCCCCCCTACCCCTACAGACACCCCCCTGTAGCATCGTCTGCCCCACCCTTTCACTCACCCCCCAGCAGCATAGTCCTTGCGGCATCTGCCACAGGTACAATGCACCCGCTAGCACTGCTGCACCCCACTCCAGCCCATTGTGTGTTGAGTGAGTGCTCCCCCCTACCCCTACAGACACCCCCCTGTAGCATCGTCTGCCCCACCCTTTCACTCACCCCCCAGCAGCATAGTCCTTGCGGCATCTGCCACAGGTACAATGCACCCGCTAGCACTGCTGCACCCCACTCCAGCCCATTGTGTGTTGAGTGAGTGCTCCCCCCTACCCCTACAGACACCCCCCTGTAGCATCGTCTGCCCCACCCTTTCACTCACCCCCCAGCAGCATAGTCCTTGCGGCATCTGCCACAGGTACAATGCACCCGCTAGCACTGCTGCACCCCACTCCAGCCCATTGTGTGTTGAGTGAGTGCTCCCCCCTACCCCTACAGACACCCCCCTGTAGCATCGTCTGCCCCACCCTTTCACTCACCCCCCAGCAGCATAGTCCTTGCGGCATCTGCCACAGGTACAATGCACCCGCTAGCACTGCTGCACCCCACTCCAGCCCATTGTGTGTTGAGTGAGTGCTCCCCCCTACCCCTACAGACACCCCCCTGTAGCATCGTCTGCCCCACCCTTTCACTCACCCCCCAGCAGCATAGTCCTTGCGGCATCTGCCACAGGTACAATGCACCCGCTAGCACTGCTGCACCCCACTCCAGCCCATTGTGTGTTGAGTGAGTGCTCCCCCCTACCCCTACAGACACCCCCCTGTAGCATCGTCTGCCCCACCCTTCACTCACCCCCCAGCAGCATAGTCCTTGCGGCATCTGCCACAGGTACAATGCACCCGCTAGCACTGCTGCACCCCACTCCAGCCCATTGTGTGTTGAGTGAGTGCTCCCCCCTACCCCTACAGACACCCCCCTGTAGCATCGTCTGCCCCACCCTTTCACTCACCCCCCAGCAGCATAGTCCTTGCGGCATCTGCCACAGGTACAATGCACCCGCTAGCACTGCTGCACCCCACTCCAGCCCATTGTGTGTTGAGTGAGTGCTCCCCCCTACCCCTACAGACACCCCCCTGTAGCATCGTCTGCCCCACCCTTTCACTCACCCCCCAGCAGCATAGTCCTTGCGGCATCTGCCACAGGTACAATGCACCCGCTAGCACTGCTGCACCCCACTCCAGCCCATTGTGTGTTGAGTGAGTGCTCCCCCCTACCCCTACAGACACCCCCCTGTAGCATCGTCTGCCCCACCCTTTCACTCACCCCCCAGCAGCATAGTCCTTGCGGCATCTGCCACAGGTACAATGCACCCGCTAGCACTGCTGCACCCCACTCCAGCCCATTGTGTGTTGAGTGAGTGCTCCCCCCTACCCCTACAGACACCCCCCTGTAGCATCGTCTGCCCCACCCTTTCACTCACCCCCCAGCAGCATAGTCCTTGCGGCATCTGCCACAGGTACAATGCACCCGCTAGCACTGCTGCACCCCACTCCAGCCCATTGTGTGTTGAGTGAGTGCTCCCCCCTACCCCTACAGACACCCCCCTGTAGCATCGTCTGCCCCACCCTTTCACTCACCCCCCAGCAGCATAGTCCTTGCGGCATCTGCCACAGGTACAATGCACCCGCTAGCACTGCTGCACCCCACTCCAGCCCATTGTGTGTTGAGTGAGTGCTCCCCCCTACCCCTACAGACACCCCCCTGTAGCATCGTCTGCCCCACCCTTTCACTCACCCCCCAGCAGCATAGTCCTTGCGGCATCTGCCACAGGTACAATGCACCCGCTAGCACTGCTGCACCCCACTCCAGCCCATTGTGTGTTGAGTGAGTGCTCCCCCCTACCCCTACAGACACCCCCCTGTAGCATCGTCTGCCCCACCCTTTCACTCACCCCCCAGCAGCATAGTCCTTGCGGCATCTGCCACAGGTACAATGCACCCGCTAGCACTGCTGCACCCCACTCCAGCCCATTGTGTGTTGAGTGAGTGCTCCCCCCTACCCCTACAGACACCCCCCTGTAGCATCGTCTGCCCCACCCTTTCACTCACCCCCCAGCAGCATAGTCCTTGCGGCATCTGCCACAGGTACAATGCACCCGCTAGCACTGCTGCACCCCACTCCAGCCCATTGTGTGTTGAGTGAGTGCTCCCCCCTACCCCTACAGACACCCCCCTGTAGCATCGTCTGCCCCACCCTTTCACTCACCCCCCAGCAGCATAGTCCTTGCGGCATCTGCCACAGGTACAATGCACCCGCTAGCACTGCTGCACCCCACTCCAGCCCATTGTGTGTTGAGTGAGTGCTCCCCCCTACCCCTACAGACACCCCCCTGTAGCATCGTCTGCCCCACCCTTTCACTCACCCCCCAGCAGCATAGTCCTTGCGGCATCTGCCACAGGTACAATGCACCCGCTAGCACTGCTGCACCCCACTCCAGCCCATTGTGTGTTGAGTGAGTGCTCCCCCCTACCCCTACAGACACCCCCCTGTAGCATCGTCTGCCCCACCCTTTCACTCACCCCCCAGCAGCATAGTCCTTGCGGCATCTGCCACAGGTACAATGCACCCGCTAGCACTGCTGCACCCCACTCCAGCCCATTGTGTGTTGAGTGAGTGCTCCCCCCTACCCCTACAGACACCCCCCTGTAGCATCGTCTGCCCCACCCTTTCACTCACCCCCCAGCAGCATAGTCCTTGCGGCATCTGCCACAGGTACAATGCACCCGCTAGCACTGCTGCACCCCACTCCAGCCCATTGTGTGTTGAGTGAGTGCTCCCCCCTACCCCTACAGACACCCCCCTGTAGCATCGTCTGCCCCACCCTTTCACTCACCCCCCAGCAGCATAGTCCTTGCGGCATCTGCCACAGGTACAATGCACCCGCTAGCACTGCTGCACCCCACTCCAGCCCATTGTGTGTTGAGTGAGTGCTCCCCCCTACCCCTACAGACACCCCCCTGTAGCATCGTCTGCCCCACCCTTTCACTCACCCCCCAGCAGCATAGTCCTTGCGGCATCTGCCACAGGTACAATGCACCCGCTAGCACTGCTGCACCCCACTCCAGCCCATTGTGTGTTGAGTGAGTGCTCCCCCCTACCCCTACAGACACCCCCCTGTAGCATCGTCTGCCCCACCCTTTCACTCACCCCCCAGCAGCATAGTCCTTGCGGCATCTGCCACAGGTACAATGCACCCGCTAGCACTGCTGCACCCCACTCCAGCCCATTGTGTGTTGAGTGAGTGCTCCCCCCTACCCCTACAGACACCCCCCTGTAGCATCGTCTGCCCCACCCTTTCACTCACCCCCCAGCAGCATAGTCCTTGCGGCATCTGCCACAGGTACAATGCACCCGCTAGCACTGCTGCACCCCACTCCAGCCCATTGTGTGTTGAGTGAGTGCTCCCCCCTACCCCTACAGACACCCCCCTGTAGCATCGTCTGCCCCACCCTTCACTCACCCCCCAGCAGCATAGTCCTTGCGGCATCTGCCACAGGTACAATGCACCCGCTAGCACTGCTGCACCCCACTCCAGCCCATTGTGTGTTGAGTGAGTGCTCCCCCCTACCCCTACAGACACCCCCCTGTAGCATCGTCTGCCCCACCCTTTCACTCACCCCCCAGCAGCATAGTCCTTGCGGCATCTGCCACAGGTACAATGCACCCGCTAGCACTGCTGCACCCCACTCCAGCCCATTGTGTGTTGAGTGAGTGCTCCCCCCTACCCCTACAGACACCCCCCTGTAGCATCGTCTGCCCCACCCTTCACTCACCCCCCAGCAGCATAGTCCTTGCGGCATCTGCCACAGGTACAATGCACCCGCTAGCACTGCTGCACCCCACTCCAGCCCATTGTGTGTTGAGTGAGTGCTCCCCCCTACCCCTACAGACACCCCCCTGTAGCATCGTCTGCCCCACCCTTTCACTCACCCCCCAGCAGCATAGTCCTTGCGGCATCTGCCACAGGTACAATGCACCCGCTAGCACTGCTGCACCCCACTCCAGCCCATTGTGTGTTGAGTGAGTGCTCCCCCCTACCCCTACAGACACCCCCCTGTAGCATCGTCTGCCCCACCCTTTCACTCACCCCCCAGCAGCATAGTCCTTGCGGCATCTGCCACAGGTACAATGCACCCGCTAGCACTGCTGCACCCCACTCCAGCCCATTGTGTGTTGAGTGAGTGCTCCCCCCTACCCCTACAGACACCCCCCTGTAGCATCGTCTGCCCCACCCTTTCACTCACCCCCCAGCAGCATAGTCCTTGCGGCATCTGCCACAGGTACAATGCACCCGCTAGCACTGCTGCACCCCACTCCAGCCCATTGTGTGTTGAGTGAGTGCTCCCCCCTACCCCTACAGACACCCCCCTGTAGCATCGTCTGCCCCACCCTTCACTCACCCCCCAGCAGCATAGTCCTTGCGGCATCTGCCACAGGTACAATGCACCCGCTAGCACTGCTGCACCCCACTCCAGCCCATTGTGTGTTGAGTGAGTGCTCCCCCCTACCCCTACAGACACCCCCCTGTAGCATCGTCTGCCCCACCCTTCACTCACCCCCCAGCAGCATAGTCCTTGCGGCATCTGCCACAGGTACAATGCACCCGCTAGCACTGCTGCACCCCACTCCAGCCCATTGTGTGTTGAGTGAGTGCTCCCCCCTACCCCTACAGACACCCCCCTGTAGCATCGTCTGCCCCACCCTTCACTCACCCCCCAGCAGCATAGTCCTTGCGGCATCTGCCACAGGTACAATGCACCCGCTAGCACTGCTGCACCCCACTCCAGCCCATTGTGTGTTGAGTGAGTGCTCCCCCCTACCCCTACAGACACCCCCCTGTAGCATCGTCTGCCCCACCCTTCACTCACCCCCCAGCAGCATAGTCCTTGCGGCATCTGCCACAGGTACAATGCACCCGCTAGCACTGCTGCACCCCACTCCAGCCCATTGTGTGTTGAGTGAGTGCTCCCCCCTACCCCTACAGACACCCCCCTGTAGCATCGTCTGCCCCACCCTTCACTCACCCCCCAGCAGCATAGTCCTTGCGGCATCTGCCACAGGTACAATGCACCCGCTAGCACTGCTGCACCCCACTCCAGCCCATTGTGTGTTGAGTGAGTGCTCCCCCCTACCCCTACAGACACCCCCCTGTAGCATCGTCTGCCCCACCCTTCACTCACCCCCCAGCAGCATAGTCCTTGCGGCATCTGCCACAGGTACAATGCACCCGCTAGCACTGCTGCACCCCACTCCAGCCCATTGTGTGTTGAGTGAGTGCTCCCCCCTACCCCTACAGACACCCCCCTGTAGCATCGTCTGCCCCACCCTTCACTCACCCCCCAGCAGCATAGTCCTTGCGGCATCTGCCACAGGTACAATGCACCCGCTAGCACTGCTGCACCCCACTCCAGCCCATTGTGTGTTGAGTGAGTGCTCCCCCCTACCCCTACAGACACCCCCCTGTAGCATCGTCTGCCCCACCCTTCACTCACCCCCCAGCAGCATAGTCCTTGCGGCATCTGCCACAGGTACAATGCACCCGCTAGCACTGCTGCACCCCACTCCAGCCCATTGTGTGTTGAGTGAGTGCTCCCCCCTACCCCTACAGACACCCCCCTGTAGCATCGTCTGCCCCACCCTTTCACTCACCCCCCAGCAGCATAGTCCTTGCGGCATCTGCCACAGGTACAATGCACCCGCTAGCACTGCTGCACCCCACTCCAGCCCATTGTGTGTTGAGTGAGTGCTCCCCCCTACCCCTACAGACACCCCCCTGTAGCATCGTCTGCCCCACCCTTCACTCACCCCCCAGCAGCATAGTCCTTGCGGCATCTGCCACAGGTACAATGCACCCGCTAGCACTGCTGCACCCCACTCCAGCCCATTGTGTGTTGAGTGAGTGCTCCCCCCTACCCCTACAGACACCCCCCTGTAGCATCGTCTGCCCCACCCTTTCACTCACCCCCCAGCAGCATAGTCCTTGCGGCATCTGCCACAGGTACAATGCACCCGCTAGCACTGCTGCACCCCACTCCAGCCCATTGTGTGTTGAGTGAGTGCTCCCCCCTACCCCTACAGACACCCCCCTGTAGCATCGTCTGCCCCACCCTTCACTCACCCCCCAGCAGCATAGTCCTTGCGGCATCTGCCACAGGTACAATGCACCCGCTAGCACTGCTGCACCCCACTCCAGCCCATTGTGTGTTGAGTGAGTGCTCCCCCCTACCCCTACAGACACCCCCCTGTAGCATCGTCTGCCCCACCCTTCACTCACCCCCCAGCAGCATAGTCCTTGCGGCATCTGCCACAGGTACAATGCACCCGCTAGCACTGCTGCACCCCACTCCAGCCCATTGTGTGTTGAGTGAGTGCTCCCCCCTACCCCTACAGACACCCCCCTGTAGCATCGTCTGCCCCACCCTTTCACTCACCCCCCAGCAGCATAGTCCTTGCGGCATCTGCCACAGGTACAATGCACCCGCTAGCACTGCTGCACCCCACTCCAGCCCATTGTGTGTTGAGTGAGTGCTCCCCCCTACCCCTACAGACACCCCCCTGTAGCATCGTCTGCCCCACCCTTCACTCACCCCCCAGCAGCATAGTCCTTGCGGCATCTGCCACAGGTACAATGCACCCGCTAGCACTGCTGCACCCCACTCCAGCCCATTGTGTGTTGAGTGAGTGCTCCCCCCTACCCCTACAGACACCCCCCTGTAGCATCGTCTGCCCCACCCTTCACTCACCCCCCAGCAGCATAGTCCTTGCGGCATCTGCCACAGGTACAATGCACCCGCTAGCACTGCTGCACCCCACTCCAGCCCATTGTGTGTTGAGTGAGTGCTCCCCCCTACCCCTACAGACACCCCCCTGTAGCATCGTCTGCCCCACCCTTTCACTCACCCCCCAGCAGCATAGTCCTTGCGGCATCTGCCACAGGTACAATGCACCCGCTAGCACTGCTGCACCCCACTCCAGCCCATTGTGTGTTGAGTGAGTGCTCCCCCCTACCCCTACAGACACCCCCCTGTAGCATCGTCTGCCCCACCCTTTCACTCACCCCCCAGCAGCATAGTCCTTGCGGCATCTGCCACAGGTACAATGCACCCGCTAGCACTGCTGCACCCCACTCCAGCCCATTGTGTGTTGAGTGAGTGCTCCCCCCTACCCCTACAGACACCCCCCTGTAGCATCGTCTGCCCCACCCTTTCACTCACCCCCCAGCAGCATAGTCCTTGCGGCATCTGCCACAGGTACAATGCACCCGCTAGCACTGCTGCACCCCACTCCAGCCCATTGTGTGTTGAGTGAGTGCTCCCCCCTACCCCTACAGACACCCCCCTGTAGCATCGTCTGCCCCACCCTTTCACTCACCCCCCAGCAGCATAGTCCTTGCGGCATCTGCCACAGGTACAATGCACCCGCTAGCACTGCTGCACCCCACTCCAGCCCATTGTGTGTTGAGTGAGTGCTCCCCCCTACCCCTACAGACACCCCCCTGTAGCATCGTCTGCCCCACCCTTTCACTCACCCCCCAGCAGCATAGTCCTTGCGGCATCTGCCACAGGTACAATGCACCCGCTAGCACTGCTGCACCCCACTCCAGCCCATTGTGTGTTGAGTGAGTGCTCCCCCCTACCCCTACAGACACCCCCCTGTAGCATCGTCTGCCCCACCCTTTCACTCACCCCCCAGCAGCATAGTCCTTGCGGCATCTGCCACAGGTACAATGCACCCGCTAGCACTGCTGCACCCCACTCCAGCCCATTGTGTGTTGAGTGAGTGCTCCCCCCTACCCCTACAGACACCCCCCTGTAGCATCGTCTGCCCCACCCTTTCACTCACCCCCCAGCAGCATAGTCCTTGCGGCATCTGCCACAGGTACAATGCACCCGCTAGCACTGCTGCACCCCACTCCAGCCCATTGTGTGTTGAGTGAGTGCTCCCCCCTACCCCTACAGACACCCCCCTGTAGCATCGTCTGCCCCACCCTTTCACTCACCCCCCAGCAGCATAGTCCTTGCGGCATCTGCCACAGGTACAATGCACCCGCTAGCACTGCTGCACCCCACTCCAGCCCATTGTGTGTTGAGTGAGTGCTCCCCCCTACCCCTACAGACACCCCCCTGTAGCATCGTCTGCCCCACCCTTCACTCACCCCCCAGCAGCATAGTCCTTGCGGCATCTGCCACAGGTACAATGCACCCGCTAGCACTGCTGCACCCCACTCCAGCCCATTGTGTGTTGAGTGAGTGCTCCCCCCTACCCCTACAGACACCCCCCTGTAGCATCGTCTGCCCCACCCTTCACTCACCCCCCAGCAGCATAGTCCTTGCGGCATCTGCCACAGGTACAATGCACCCGCTAGCACTGCTGCACCCCACTCCAGCCCATTGTGTGTTGAGTGAGTGCTCCCCCCTACCCCTACAGACACCCCCCTGTAGCATCGTCTGCCCCACCCTTCACTCACCCCCCAGCAGCATAGTCCTTGCGGCATCTGCCACAGGTACAATGCACCCGCTAGCACTGCTGCACCCCACTCCAGCCCATTGTGTGTTGAGTGAGTGCTCCCCCCTACCCCTACAGACACCCCCCTGTAGCATCGTCTGCCCCACCCTTCACTCACCCCCCAGCAGCATAGTCCTTGCGGCATCTGCCACAGGTACAATGCACCCGCTAGCACTGCTGCACCCCACTCCAGCCCATTGTGTGTTGAGTGAGTGCTCCCCCCTACCCCTACAGACACCCCCCTGTAGCATCGTCTGCCCCACCCTTCACTCACCCCCCAGCAGCATAGTCCTTGCGGCATCTGCCACAGGTACAATGCACCCGCTAGCACTGCTGCACCCCACTCCAGCCCATTGTGTGTTGAGTGAGTGCTCCCCCCTACCCCTACAGACACCCCCCTGTAGCATCGTCTGCCCCACCCTTTCACTCACCCCCCAGCAGCATAGTCCTTGCGGCATCTGCCACAGGTACAATGCACCCGCTAGCACTGCTGCACCCCACTCCAGCCCATTGTGTGTTGAGTGAGTGCTCCCCCCTACCCCTACAGACACCCCCCTGTAGCATCGTCTGCCCCACCCTTCACTCACCCCCCAGCAGCATAGTCCTTGCGGCATCTGCCACAGGTACAATGCACCCGCTAGCACTGCTGCACCCCACTCCAGCCCATTGTGTGTTGAGTGAGTGCTCCCCCCTACCCCTACAGACACCCCCCTGTAGCATCGTCTGCCCCACCCTTCACTCACCCCCCAGCAGCATAGTCCTTGCGGCATCTGCCACAGGTACAATGCACCCGCTAGCACTGCTGCACCCCACTCCAGCCCATTGTGTGTTGAGTGAGTGCTCCCCCCTACCCCTACAGACACCCCCCTGTAGCATCGTCTGCCCCACCCTTTCACTCACCCCCCAGCAGCATAGTCCTTGCGGCATCTGCCACAGGTACAATGCACCCGCTAGCACTGCTGCACCCCACTCCAGCCCATTGTGTGTTGAGTGAGTGCTCCCCCCTACCCCTACAGACACCCCCCTGTAGCATCGTCTGCCCCACCCTTCACTCACCCCCCAGCAGCATAGTCCTTGCGGCATCTGCCACAGGTACAATGCACCCGCTAGCACTGCTGCACCCCACTCCAGCCCATTGTGTGTTGAGTGAGTGCTCCCCCCTACCCCTACAGACACCCCCCTGTAGCATCGTCTGCCCCACCCTTCACTCACCCCCCAGCAGCATAGTCCTTGCGGCATCTGCCACAGGTACAATGCACCCGCTAGCACTGCTGCACCCCACTCCAGCCCATTGTGTGTTGAGTGAGTGCTCCCCCCTACCCCTACAGACACCCCCCTGTAGCATCGTCTGCCCCACCCTTCACTCACCCCCCAGCAGCATAGTCCTTGCGGCATCTGCCACAGGTACAATGCACCCGCTAGCACTGCTGCACCCCACTCCAGCCCATTGTGTGTTGAGTGAGTGCTCCCCCCTACCCCTACAGACACCCCCCTGTAGCATCGTCTGCCCCACCCTTCACTCACCCCCCAGCAGCATAGTCCTTGCGGCATCTGCCACAGGTACAATGCACCCGCTAGCACTGCTGCACCCCACTCCAGCCCATTGTGTGTTGAGTGAGTGCTCCCCCCTACCCCTACAGACACCCCCCTGTAGCATCGTCTGCCCCACCCTTTCACTCACCCCCCAGCAGCATAGTCCTTGCGGCATCTGCCACAGGTACAATGCACCCGCTAGCACTGCTGCACCCCACTCCAGCCCATTGTGTGTTGAGTGAGTGCTCCCCCCTACCCCTACAGACACCCCCCTGTAGCATCGTCTGCCCCACCCTTCACTCACCCCCCAGCAGCATAGTCCTTGCGGCATCTGCCACAGGTACAATGCACCCGCTAGCACTGCTGCACCCCACTCCAGCCCATTGTGTGTTGAGTGAGTGCTCCCCCCTACCCCTACAGACACCCCCCTGTAGCATCGTCTGCCCCACCCTTCACTCACCCCCCAGCAGCATAGTCCTTGCGGCATCTGCCACAGGTACAATGCACCCGCTAGCACTGCTGCACCCCACTCCAGCCCATTGTGTGTTGAGTGAGTGCTCCCCCCTACCCCTACAGACACCCCCCTGTAGCATCGTCTGCCCCACCCTTTCACTCACCCCCCAGCAGCATAGTCCTTGCGGCATCTGCCACAGGTACAATGCACCCGCTAGCACTGCTGCACCCCACTCCAGCCCATTGTGTGTTGAGTGAGTGCTCCCCCCTACCCCTACAGACACCCCCCTGTAGCATCGTCTGCCCCACCCTTCACTCACCCCCCAGCAGCATAGTCCTTGCGGCATCTGCCACAGGTACAATGCACCCGCTAGCACTGCTGCACCCCACTCCAGCCCATTGTGTGTTGAGTGAGTGCTCCCCCCTACCCCTACAGACACCCCCCTGTAGCATCGTCTGCCCCACCCTTCACTCACCCCCCAGCAGCATAGTCCTTGCGGCATCTGCCACAGGTACAATGCACCCGCTAGCACTGCTGCACCCCACTCCAGCCCATTGTGTGTTGAGTGAGTGCTCCCCCCTACCCCTACAGACACCCCCCTGTAGCATCGTCTGCCCCACCCTTTCACTCACCCCCCAGCAGCATAGTCCTTGCGGCATCTGCCACAGGTACAATGCACCCGCTAGCACTGCTGCACCCCACTCCAGCCCATTGTGTGTTGAGTGAGTGCTCCCCCCTACCCCTACAGACACCCCCCTGTAGCATCGTCTGCCCCACCCTTTCACTCACCCCCCAGCAGCATAGTCCTTGCGGCATCTGCCACAGGTACAATGCACCCGCTAGCACTGCTGCACCCCACTCCAGCCCATTGTGTGTTGAGTGAGTGCTCCCCCCTACCCCTACAGACACCCCCCTGTAGCATCGTCTGCCCCACCCTTTCACTCACCCCCCAGCAGCATAGTCCTTGCGGCATCTGCCACAGGTACAATGCACCCGCTAGCACTGCTGCACCCCACTCCAGCCCATTGTGTGTTGAGTGAGTGCTCCCCCCTACCCCTACAGACACCCCCCTGTAGCATCGTCTGCCCCACCCTTTCACTCACCCCCCAGCAGCATAGTCCTTGCGGCATCTGCCACAGGTACAATGCACCCGCTAGCACTGCTGCACCCCACTCCAGCCCATTGTGTGTTGAGTGAGTGCTCCCCCCTACCCCTACAGACACCCCCCTGTAGCATCGTCTGCCCCACCCTTTCACTCACCCCCCAGCAGCATAGTCCTTGCGGCATCTGCCACAGGTACAATGCACCCGCTAGCACTGCTGCACCCCACTCCAGCCCATTGTGTGTTGAGTGAGTGCTCCCCCCTACCCCTACAGACACCCCCCTGTAGCATCGTCTGCCCCACCCTTTCACTCACCCCCCAGCAGCATAGTCCTTGCGGCATCTGCCACAGGTACAATGCACCCGCTAGCACTGCTGCACCCCACTCCAGCCCATTGTGTGTTGAGTGAGTGCTCCCCCCTACCCCTACAGACACCCCCCTGTAGCATCGTCTGCCCCACCCTTCACTCACCCCCCAGCAGCATAGTCCTTGCGGCATCTGCCACAGGTACAATGCACCCGCTAGCACTGCTGCACCCCACTCCAGCCCATTGTGTGTTGAGTGAGTGCTCCCCCCTACCCCTACAGACACCCCCCTGTAGCATCGTCTGCCCCACCCTTCACTCACCCCCCAGCAGCATAGTCCTTGCGGCATCTGCCACAGGTACAATGCACCCGCTAGCACTGCTGCACCCCACTCCAGCCCATTGTGTGTTGAGTGAGTGCTCCCCCCTACCCCTACAGACACCCCCCTGTAGCATCGTCTGCCCCACCCTTCACTCACCCCCCAGCAGCATAGTCCTTGCGGCATCTGCCACAGGTACAATGCACCCGCTAGCACTGCTGCACCCCACTCCAGCCCATTGTGTGTTGAGTGAGTGCTCCCCCCTACCCCTACAGACACCCCCCTGTAGCATCGTCTGCCCCACCCTTCACTCACCCCCCAGCAGCATAGTCCTTGCGGCATCTGCCACAGGTACAATGCACCCGCTAGCACTGCTGCACCCCACTCCAGCCCATTGTGTGTTGAGTGAGTGCTCCCCCCTACCCCTACAGACACCCCCCTGTAGCATCGTCTGCCCCACCCTTCACTCACCCCCCAGCAGCATAGTCCTTGCGGCATCTGCCACAGGTACAATGCACCCGCTAGCACTGCTGCACCCCACTCCAGCCCATTGTGTGTTGAGTGAGTGCTCCCCCCTACCCCTACAGACACCCCCCTGTAGCATCGTCTGCCCCACCCTTCACTCACCCCCCAGCAGCATAGTCCTTGCGGCATCTGCCACAGGTACAATGCACCCGCTAGCACTGCTGCACCCCACTCCAGCCCATTGTGTGTTGAGTGAGTGCTCCCCCCTACCCCTACAGACACCCCCCTGTAGCATCGTCTGCCCCACCCTTTCACTCACCCCCCAGCAGCATAGTCCTTGCGGCATCTGCCACAGGTACAATGCACCCGCTAGCACTGCTGCACCCCACTCCAGCCCATTGTGTGTTGAGTGAGTGCTCCCCCCTACCCCTACAGACACCCCCCTGTAGCATCGTCTGCCCCACCCTTCACTCACCCCCCAGCAGCATAGTCCTTGCGGCATCTGCCACAGGTACAATGCACCCGCTAGCACTGCTGCACCCCACTCCAGCCCATTGTGTGTTGAGTGAGTGCTCCCCCCTACCCCTACAGACACCCCCCTGTAGCATCGTCTGCCCCACCCTTCACTCACCCCCCAGCAGCATAGTCCTTGCGGCATCTGCCACAGGTACAATGCACCCGCTAGCACTGCTGCACCCCACTCCAGCCCATTGTGTGTTGAGTGAGTGCTCCCCCCTACCCCTACAGACACCCCCCTGTAGCATCGTCTGCCCCACCCTTCACTCACCCCCCAGCAGCATAGTCCTTGCGGCATCTGCCACAGGTACAATGCACCCGCTAGCACTGCTGCACCCCACTCCAGCCCATTGTGTGTTGAGTGAGTGCTCCCCCCTACCCCTACAGACACCCCCCTGTAGCATCGTCTGCCCCACCCTTCACTCACCCCCCAGCAGCATAGTCCTTGCGGCATCTGCCACAGGTACAATGCACCCGCTAGCACTGCTGCACCCCACTCCAGCCCATTGTGTGTTGAGTGAGTGCTCCCCCCTACCCCTACAGACACCCCCCTGTAGCATCGTCTGCCCCACCCTTCACTCACCCCCCAGCAGCATAGTCCTTGCGGCATCTGCCACAGGTACAATGCACCCGCTAGCACTGCTGCACCCCACTCCAGCCCATTGTGTGTTGAGTGAGTGCTCCCCCCTACCCCTACAGACACCCCCCTGTAGCATCGTCTGCCCCACCCTTTCACTCACCCCCCAGCAGCATAGTCCTTGCGGCATCTGCCACAGGTACAATGCACCCGCTAGCACTGCTGCACCCCACTCCAGCCCATTGTGTGTTGAGTGAGTGCTCCCCCCTACCCCTACAGACACCCCCCTGTAGCATCGTCTGCCCCACCCTTCACTCACCCCCCAGCAGCATAGTCCTTGCGGCATCTGCCACAGGTACAATGCACCCGCTAGCACTGCTGCACCCCACTCCAGCCCATTGTGTGTTGAGTGAGTGCTCCCCCCTACCCCTACAGACACCCCCCTGTAGCATCGTCTGCCCCACCCTTTCACTCACCCCCCAGCAGCATAGTCCTTGCGGCATCTGCCACAGGTACAATGCACCCGCTAGCACTGCTGCACCCCACTCCAGCCCATTGTGTGTTGAGTGAGTGCTCCCCCCTACCCCTACAGACACCCCCCTGTAGCATCGTCTGCCCCACCCTTCACTCACCCCCCAGCAGCATAGTCCTTGCGGCATCTGCCACAGGTACAATGCACCCGCTAGCACTGCTGCACCCCACTCCAGCCCATTGTGTGTTGAGTGAGTGCTCCCCCCTACCCCTACAGACACCCCCCTGTAGCATCGTCTGCCCCACCCTTTCACTCACCCCCCAGCAGCATAGTCCTTGCGGCATCTGCCACAGGTACAATGCACCCGCTAGCACTGCTGCACCCCACTCCAGCCCATTGTGTGTTGAGTGAGTGCTCCCCCCTACCCCTACAGACACCCCCCTGTAGCATCGTCTGCCCCACCCTTTCACTCACCCCCCAGCAGCATAGTCCTTGCGGCATCTGCCACAGGTACAATGCACCCGCTAGCACTGCTGCACCCCACTCCAGCCCATTGTGTGTTGAGTGAGTGCTCCCCCCTACCCCTACAGACACCCCCCTGTAGCATCGTCTGCCCCACCCTTTCACTCACCCCCCAGCAGCATAGTCCTTGCGGCATCTGCCACAGGTACAATGCACCCGCTAGCACTGCTGCACCCCACTCCAGCCCATTGTGTGTTGAGTGAGTGCTCCCCCCTACCCCTACAGACACCCCCCTGTAGCATCGTCTGCCCCACCCTTTCACTCACCCCCCAGCAGCATAGTCCTTGCGGCATCTGCCACAGGTACAATGCACCCGCTAGCACTGCTGCACCCCACTCCAGCCCATTGTGTGTTGAGTGAGTGCTCCCCCCTACCCCTACAGACACCCCCCTGTAGCATCGTCTGCCCCACCCTTTCACTCACCCCCCAGCAGCATAGTCCTTGCGGCATCTGCCACAGGTACAATGCACCCGCTAGCACTGCTGCACCCCACTCCAGCCCATTGTGTGTTGAGTGAGTGCTCCCCCCTACCCCTACAGACACCCCCCTGTAGCATCGTCTGCCCCACCCTTTCACTCACCCCCCAGCAGCATAGTCCTTGCGGCATCTGCCACAGGTACAATGCACCCGCTAGCACTGCTGCACCCCACTCCAGCCCATTGTGTGTTGAGTGAGTGCTCCCCCCTACCCCTACAGACACCCCCCTGTAGCATCGTCTGCCCCACCCTTTCACTCACCCCCCAGCAGCATAGTCCTTGCGGCATCTGCCACAGGTACAATGCACCCGCTAGCACTGCTGCACCCCACTCCAGCCCATTGTGTGTTGAGTGAGTGCTCCCCCCTACCCCTACAGACACCCCCCTGTAGCATCGTCTGCCCCACCCTTTCACTCACCCCCCAGCAGCATAGTCCTTGCGGCATCTGCCACAGGTACAATGCACCCGCTAGCACTGCTGCACCCCACTCCAGCCCATTGTGTGTTGAGTGAGTGCTCCCCCCTACCCCTACAGACACCCCCCTGTAGCATCGTCTGCCCCACCCTTTCACTCACCCCCCAGCAGCATAGTCCTTGCGGCATCTGCCACAGGTACAATGCACCCGCTAGCACTGCTGCACCCCACTCCAGCCCATTGTGTGTTGAGTGAGTGCTCCCCCCTACCCCTACAGACACCCCCCTGTAGCATCGTCTGCCCCACCCTTTCACTCACCCCCCAGCAGCATAGTCCTTGCGGCATCTGCCACAGGTACAATGCACCCGCTAGCACTGCTGCACCCCACTCCAGCCCATTGTGTGTTGAGTGAGTGCTCCCCCCTACCCCTACAGACACCCCCCTGTAGCATCGTCTGCCCCACCCTTTCACTCACCCCCCAGCAGCATAGTCCTTGCGGCATCTGCCACAGGTACAATGCACCCGCTAGCACTGCTGCACCCCACTCCAGCCCATTGTGTGTTGAGTGAGTGCTCCCCCCTACCCCTACAGACACCCCCCTGTAGCATCGTCTGCCCCACCCTTTCACTCACCCCCCAGCAGCATAGTCCTTGCGGCATCTGCCACAGGTACAATGCACCCGCTAGCACTGCTGCACCCCACTCCAGCCCATTGTGTGTTGAGTGAGTGCTCCCCCCTACCCCTACAGACACCCCCCTGTAGCATCGTCTGCCCCACCCTTTCACTCACCCCCCAGCAGCATAGTCCTTGCGGCATCTGCCACAGGTACAATGCACCCGCTAGCACTGCTGCACCCCACTCCAGCCCATTGTGTGTTGAGTGAGTGCTCCCCCCTACCCCTACAGACACCCCCCTGTAGCATCGTCTGCCCCACCCTTTCACTCACCCCCCAGCAGCATAGTCCTTGCGGCATCTGCCACAGGTACAATGCACCCGCTAGCACTGCTGCACCCCACTCCAGCCCATTGTGTGTTGAGTGAGTGCTCCCCCCTACCCCTACAGACACCCCCCTGTAGCATCGTCTGCCCCACCCTTTCACTCACCCCCCAGCAGCATAGTCCTTGCGGCATCTGCCACAGGTACAATGCACCCGCTAGCACTGCTGCACCCCACTCCAGCCCATTGTGTGTTGAGTGAGTGCTCCCCCCTACCCCTACAGACACCCCCCTGTAGCATCGTCTGCCCCACCCTTTCACTCACCCCCCAGCAGCATAGTCCTTGCGGCATCTGCCACAGGTACAATGCACCCGCTAGCACTGCTGCACCCCACTCCAGCCCATTGTGTGTTGAGTGAGTGCTCCCCCCTACCCCTACAGACACCCCCCTGTAGCATCGTCTGCCCCACCCTTTCACTCACCCCCCAGCAGCATAGTCCTTGCGGCATCTGCCACAGGTACAATGCACCCGCTAGCACTGCTGCACCCCACTCCAGCCCATTGTGTGTTGAGTGAGTGCTCCCCCCTACCCCTACAGACACCCCCCTGTAGCATCGTCTGCCCCACCCTTTCACTCACCCCCCAGCAGCATAGTCCTTGCGGCATCTGCCACAGGTACAATGCACCCGCTAGCACTGCTGCACCCCACTCCAGCCCATTGTGTGTTGAGTGAGTGCTCCCCCCTACCCCTACAGACACCCCCCTGTAGCATCGTCTGCCCCACCCTTTCACTCACCCCCCAGCAGCATAGTCCTTGCGGCATCTGCCACAGGTACAATGCACCCGCTAGCACTGCTGCACCCCACTCCAGCCCATTGTGTGTTGAGTGAGTGCTCCCCCCTACCCCTACAGACACCCCCCTGTAGCATCGTCTGCCCCACCCTTTCACTCACCCCCCAGCAGCATAGTCCTTGCGGCATCTGCCACAGGTACAATGCACCCGCTAGCACTGCTGCACCCCACTCCAGCCCATTGTGTGTTGAGTGAGTGCTCCCCCCTACCCCTACAGACACCCCCCTGTAGCATCGTCTGCCCCACCCTTTCACTCACCCCCCAGCAGCATAGTCCTTGCGGCATCTGCCACAGGTACAATGCACCCGCTAGCACTGCTGCACCCCACTCCAGCCCATTGTGTGTTGAGTGAGTGCTCCCCCCTACCCCTACAGACACCCCCCTGTAGCATCGTCTGCCCCACCCTTTCACTCACCCCCCAGCAGCATAGTCCTTGCGGCATCTGCCACAGGTACAATGCACCCGCTAGCACTGCTGCACCCCACTCCAGCCCATTGTGTGTTGAGTGAGTGCTCCCCCCTACCCCTACAGACACCCCCCTGTAGCATCGTCTGCCCCACCCTTTCACTCACCCCCCAGCAGCATAGTCCTTGCGGCATCTGCCACAGGTACAATGCACCCGCTAGCACTGCTGCACCCCACTCCAGCCCATTGTGTGTTGAGTGAGTGCTCCCCCCTACCCCTACAGACACCCCCCTGTAGCATCGTCTGCCCCACCCTTCACTCACCCCCCAGCAGCATAGTCCTTGCGGCATCTGCCACAGGTACAATGCACCCGCTAGCACTGCTGCACCCCACTCCAGCCCATTGTGTGTTGAGTGAGTGCTCCCCCCTACCCCTACAGACACCCCCCTGTAGCATCGTCTGCCCCACCCTTTCACTCACCCCCCAGCAGCATAGTCCTTGCGGCATCTGCCACAGGTACAATGCACCCGCTAGCACTGCTGCACCCCACTCCAGCCCATTGTGTGTTGAGTGAGTGCTCCCCCCTACCCCTACAGACACCCCCCTGTAGCATCGTCTGCCCCACCCTTTCACTCACCCCCCAGCAGCATAGTCCTTGCGGCATCTGCCACAGGTACAATGCACCCGCTAGCACTGCTGCACCCCACTCCAGCCCATTGTGTGTTGAGTGAGTGCTCCCCCCTACCCCTACAGACACCCCCCTGTAGCATCGTCTGCCCCACCCTTTCACTCACCCCCCAGCAGCATAGTCCTTGCGGCATCTGCCACAGGTACAATGCACCCGCTAGCACTGCTGCACCCCACTCCAGCCCATTGTGTGTTGAGTGAGTGCTCCCCCCTACCCCTACAGACACCCCCCTGTAGCATCGTCTGCCCCACCCTTTCACTCACCCCCCAGCAGCATAGTCCTTGCGGCATCTGCCACAGGTACAATGCACCCGCTAGCACTGCTGCACCCCACTCCAGCCCATTGTGTGTTGAGTGAGTGCTCCCCCCTACCCCTACAGACACCCCCCTGTAGCATCGTCTGCCCCACCCTTTCACTCACCCCCCAGCAGCATAGTCCTTGCGGCATCTGCCACAGGTACAATGCACCCGCTAGCACTGCTGCACCCCACTCCAGCCCATTGTGTGTTGAGTGAGTGCTCCCCCCTACCCCTACAGACACCCCCCTGTAGCATCGTCTGCCCCACCCTTTCACTCACCCCCCAGCAGCATAGTCCTTGCGGCATCTGCCACAGGTACAATGCACCCGCTAGCACTGCTGCACCCCACTCCAGCCCATTGTGTGTTGAGTGAGTGCTCCCCCCTACCCCTACAGACACCCCCCTGTAGCATCGTCTGCCCCACCCTTTCACTCACCCCCCAGCAGCATAGTCCTTGCGGCATCTGCCACAGGTACAATGCACCCGCTAGCACTGCTGCACCCCACTCCAGCCCATTGTGTGTTGAGTGAGTGCTCCCCCCTACCCCTACAGACACCCCCCTGTAGCATCGTCTGCCCCACCCTTTCACTCACCCCCCAGCAGCATAGTCCTTGCGGCATCTGCCACAGGTACAATGCACCCGCTAGCACTGCTGCACCCCACTCCAGCCCATTGTGTGTTGAGTGAGTGCTCCCCCCTACCCCTACAGACACCCCCCTGTAGCATCGTCTGCCCCACCCTTTCACTCACCCCCCAGCAGCATAGTCCTTGCGGCATCTGCCACAGGTACAATGCACCCGCTAGCACTGCTGCACCCCACTCCAGCCCATTGTGTGTTGAGTGAGTGCTCCCCCCTACCCCTACAGACACCCCCCTGTAGCATCGTCTGCCCCACCCTTTCACTCACCCCCCAGCAGCATAGTCCTTGCGGCATCTGCCACAGGTACAATGCACCCGCTAGCACTGCTGCACCCCACTCCAGCCCATTGTGTGTTGAGTGAGTGCTCCCCCCTACCCCTACAGACACCCCCCTGTAGCATCGTCTGCCCCACCCTTTCACTCACCCCCCAGCAGCATAGTCCTTGCGGCATCTGCCACAGGTACAATGCACCCGCTAGCACTGCTGCACCCCACTCCAGCCCATTGTGTGTTGAGTGAGTGCTCCCCCCTACCCCTACAGACACCCCCCTGTAGCATCGTCTGCCCCACCCTTTCACTCACCCCCCAGCAGCATAGTCCTTGCGGCATCTGCCACAGGTACAATGCACCCGCTAGCACTGCTGCACCCCACTCCAGCCCATTGTGTGTTGAGTGAGTGCTCCCCCCTACCCCTACAGACACCCCCCTGTAGCATCGTCTGCCCCACCCTTTCACTCACCCCCCAGCAGCATAGTCCTTGCGGCATCTGCCACAGGTACAATGCACCCGCTAGCACTGCTGCACCCCACTCCAGCCCATTGTGTGTTGAGTGAGTGCTCCCCCCTACCCCTACAGACACCCCCCTGTAGCATCGTCTGCCCCACCCTTTCACTCACCCCCCAGCAGCATAGTCCTTGCGGCATCTGCCACAGGTACAATGCACCCGCTAGCACTGCTGCACCCCACTCCAGCCCATTGTGTGTTGAGTGAGTGCTCCCCCCTACCCCTACAGACACCCCCCTGTAGCATCGTCTGCCCCACCCTTTCACTCACCCCCCAGCAGCATAGTCCTTGCGGCATCTGCCACAGGTACAATGCACCCGCTAGCACTGCTGCACCCCACTCCAGCCCATTGTGTGTTGAGTGAGTGCTCCCCCCTACCCCTACAGACACCCCCCTGTAGCATCGTCTGCCCCACCCTTTCACTCACCCCCCAGCAGCATAGTCCTTGCGGCATCTGCCACAGGTACAATGCACCCGCTAGCACTGCTGCACCCCACTCCAGCCCATTGTGTGTTGAGTGAGTGCTCCCCCCTACCCCTACAGACACCCCCCTGTAGCATCGTCTGCCCCACCCTTTCACTCACCCCCCAGCAGCATAGTCCTTGCGGCATCTGCCACAGGTACAATGCACCCGCTAGCACTGCTGCACCCCACTCCAGCCCATTGTGTGTTGAGTGAGTGCTCCCCCCTACCCCTACAGACACCCCCCTGTAGCATCGTCTGCCCCACCCTTTCACTCACCCCCCAGCAGCATAGTCCTTGCGGCATCTGCCACAGGTACAATGCACCCGCTAGCACTGCTGCACCCCACTCCAGCCCATTGTGTGTTGAGTGAGTGCTCCCCCCTACCCCTACAGACACCCCCCTGTAGCATCGTCTGCCCCACCCTTTCACTCACCCCCCAGCAGCATAGTCCTTGCGGCATCTGCCACAGGTACAATGCACCCGCTAGCACTGCTGCACCCCACTCCAGCCCATTGTGTGTTGAGTGAGTGCTCCCCCCTACCCCTACAGACACCCCCCTGTAGCATCGTCTGCCCCACCCTTTCACTCACCCCCCAGCAGCATAGTCCTTGCGGCATCTGCCACAGGTACAATGCACCCGCTAGCACTGCTGCACCCCACTCCAGCCCATTGTGTGTTGAGTGAGTGCTCCCCCCTACCCCTACAGACACCCCCCTGTAGCATCGTCTGCCCCACCCTTTCACTCACCCCCCAGCAGCATAGTCCTTGCGGCACAGCCAGGCGAGAGCAAGGAAGTGCGGCATCTGCCACAGGTACAGCGCCCCTGCCAGCACTGCTGCCCCCGCGTCTAACCCCCCACTCGCCGCCGCCCAACTGCAGTGCGCACGGGGGGAAGGGATGGGTGGGGAAGGAGAAGGGAGGGGAGGAGGGGGGTGGGGGAGGATGACATGCAGGGAAGGGTGAGAATAGATGGGAGAGGGGATGAGAGATGTGAGGTCAGCAGGTCACCTGCCTGCCTGCCTGCCTGCCTATTCCCAACCCTAGACCAACCCCTATGTGCTAGCCTGCCTTTTCTCCACCCTGCCTCACCTTGCCATCACCCTCCCAACCGCCATCACCATCACGTCACTTTCACGATTATCACCAGCACCACGAACACCACGAGCACCACGAGCACCATTACCAAATCCGCATAACTCTGATCGCCATGCACCTAATTAACTGATCCCATGACGGGCTCACCACTAAAGTTGGTGGAAGTCAAACCTCCGCAGCCCACGTTTCCATCGCCGACAAGTCCTCCATCAAATCAATCTCAACAGAATTATCACCACCAGCACCAGCATCACGATCATGGCATGCCTCATGCCTGCAGTGTCTCACCCCATGAGAGGCGGGATGACTCACCCCATGAGAGGCGGGATGGCTCCGACGACAGCGCCCACCCACGTGTTGGCGATGTGCAGCTGCTTGAGAGGCGTGTACACCCCCGCGTACAGTGCTATGTTGGCCGCTCCCAGGCCTGCCGTCATGCTGTTGGTCTGTGCACACATGCACAGGCACATGCATGCACACGAGTGGGGAGGGGAGAGAGAGGAAGGGGATGTGCAGCTGCCTGAGGGGCGTGCACACCCCCGCGTACAGCAGTATGTTGGCCGCCCCCAGGCCCGCTGTCATGCTGTTGGACTGTGTATGCGTGCATGCACACGAGCGAGGAGGGGGGAGAAAAGGGGGGAGGGAGGGAGTGCAGCTGCGTCAGAGGCGTGTACACCCCCGCATACAGTGCTATGTTGGTGGCTCCCTCCCAGGCCCGCTGTCATGCTGGTGGTCAGTGCATGCTTGAGCGAAGGAGGAATGAGGCACGAGGGGCGGAGCAGAAGGTGGGTTGATAGTGAGATGAGGCAATGGAAGGATGAAGTTGCGAGCTGTTGCCGCTGTTGACCATGCTGACTGCACTGCGTTGCATGTGAGGCAAGAATACCTGACTGCACTGCACACCTGACTGCACCGCGCACAACACCTGACTGCACTGCACACCACACCTGGGTTGCGAGGATGGCGAGGCCGCTGGCCCCGGTGAGCAGCCCCCATGCGATGGCGTGCTGCCGGGTCATGCGCCCTGCCGGGAGGGGCCTCCCCCGCGTGCGCTTCATTAGTGCGTCATTCGCCACCTCGTACACCTGGGAGGGAAACCGGGGGGGCGCGCAGGGGGGGCGCACAGGGGGGGCGCATCGGGTAACACAGGGGCACAAGGGGCAACGAAGGGCTGATCGTCCGCCCTGCCGGCAGTGGCCTGCCGGGAAATGGGGGAGAGAGGCACGAGGCGAGAGTAGCGCGGTGCAGCGATGCAGCAGCAAGGAGAGGGTAAGCCATGCAGAATGCATACAGGCAACGAGAGGTGAGAGGTGAGAGGTGAGAGGTGAGAGGTGAGAGGTGAGAGGTGAGAGGTGAGGGGTGAGAGGTGAGAGGTGAGAGGTGAGGGGTGAGAGGTGAGAGGTGAGAGGTGAGAGGTGAGGGGTGAGAGGTGAGAGGTGAGAGGTGAGAGGTGAGGGGTGCCGCAAGCAGCAAGGGCAGCAGACAGAATGAGCACTGGGCAGCCACACCTGGTTCCACGTGTTGGCGGAGGCAGCTGCCAGGAAGGTTCCAAGCGAGGTCCATCCAAGTCCTGCCCAGTCAACGCGGTCGTCACTGCCCATCACAAACCCCGCTGCCGCTGTCGCCACCACCAGCAGGCTGGGGGGGTGTGAGGCGCGCAGGGGGGTGCGAGGCGCGCAGGGGAGCGAGAGGCAGGAGGCAGGGGGTACGGGGCACAAGGGACAGGAGTCAGCTAGGGTGAGAGGCGCAAGGGTTCGGAAGACAGGAGGGGGTGACGGGTGCAGGGGCCGGAAGACAGGGGGTGAGGGGCAGAGGGAGAAGGGGGAAGAGAGGGAATGCTGTGAGACGCTATGCGCGAGACGAGGTGAGGCGCACGAGAGAGCAACGGAAAAGGCGTCATCTTCACATTCAGAGCAGCGGGACGTGTCAGTTCCTCACCTCCGCGCAAGCACCCACCCACCTGAGCCGCGTCTTGCTGAGCTCGTAGTAGCACCGCCCGTAGTGCTTCCACACGCTCACGCCTGCCGCCCGCCCTGCCGTCGCGCCTGCCGCGGGGACGGCGAGGCTCGCGCGGGCGGCGGCGGGCAGAGAGGCGGCGGCGGAGAGGGTGGCGGAAGAGAGGCTGGCGGAGGAATGCGTGAGGGCGGAGCGGAGAGCGGAGAGCGAGGGGGAGGTGAGCGTGAGCGCGAGGGGCGACGCGTGCCGCCATGCGCCGATGCGCTTCGCGTTGGTGGCGAGGGATGCGGGGCCGTGAGCGACGACGAGCGACGGGATGAGGCGCGCGTGATGCGGCGTGGCGGCGGTGGGCGGGGCGGCGTGCGCGAGGGAATGCAGCGGATAAGGACCGCCCGGTGCGGGCGCGCCGTGCGCGCCGCGACACGCAGGCCCATGGGTCAGCGACGCGACCTGCTTGCGCGCTTCGCGACACGCCACCCGCCACATGATGCTGGTGGCGGCGCGCGAGTGAACGGTCGACAGCGACGAGGACGGCAAGAGCCGGAGACTAAAAGTAACGACGTTCCTTAGTGGATCTAATACGGCGAGTCGAGAGCGTGCCGTGCGCCGCGTTTCGTTTCGGACAAGGCAGCGCGGCGAAGGATGGCACGGCGGGCGGGACGCACAAGGCTCCCAGAACGCGTCTCGCGCACGAAGGCCCAACGGCTTCCGAACTGGAGCCTCGAGAAAAAAACACGGCTCTGGCGAAACCAGGTTCGCAGCTTCGGATTCCCAAACCAAGGCAGGCCCGTGACGTGGCTCAGGCTCGTGAACAAAACGGCCGAAACCAGAGCTGATGAGATACGCGTTACTAGCGAGAGCGGGTGAAGTAATTTCACCACTGTAGCGCCTACAAACATAAAACCAACGTTTCTGCCACTTCGAATTAACCACACTGGTGAGTGTTGTGCAAACGAAGCACACACGCGAAGTCCGACAGTGAGCTTTTCGCCGAAATCCATCTGTGCCCGTCCATTCCAGTGCCTGCCGCGTCGCTTCGTGAAATCGAGCGATCAGATTCACTCGTTTCAACGCGCCATCCAGCGGTTAGCAAACAACGTCTCTCCCGCGCTTCACCCGCCACCTTTAATTTCTCGCACCGTGCCACTCGGCCCTCCGATCTTGCCTGTCGCGCGGTGCGACTGCCGCGTGGTTGCTGCGAGGCGCGCGGGGAGAGGCAGAGGGCGCGGGGCGGATCGTGATAGCGGCGGGGAGGGCAGCAGCTTGAGTCGGCATGGCGGAGCAACAGCAGCTAGGGCCCACACAGGTGAGGTCGGCCCCACACGGGTGAGCCGTGCGTGCTGCTGTTCCCCACTCGCGCCATGCAGCTAAGCGCGCGCCATTCGTGCCAACCCGTTGCGCGCGATCCCATAAGATCGCGTAGCCTGCCGTGCCTTATATCGCATCTCGCGCCCCACGTCTCCCCGCGTCGGCCCACGACGCCTCGCCGTGCGTGCAGCTGGCGCGGAAGGGCATCCCGCTGAGCGCGCCTGGCGCGGAAGGGCATCCCGCTGAGCGCGCCTGGCGCTGAAGGGCATCCCGCTGAGCGCGCCTGGCGCTGAAGGGCATCCCGCTGAGCGCGCCTGGCCGTCGCACGCCATCGATCCCATGCCCCCCTCCGGCCAGCCGTTGCACCCCATTCCCACCGCATGTACTGATGAATGACATCCCGCGCCCGCCGGTGGAGCACCACATGCCATCCCATACGCTGCCATGCCCCCCTCCGCCCTGCCCTGCTATGCCCCCCTCCGCCCTGCCCTGCTACGCCCCCCTCCGCCCTGCCCTGCCATGCCCCCCTCCGCCCTGCCCTGCTATGCCCCACAGATATCGGTGAAAGACATTCCCCGTCTGCCAGTGGAGCAGGTGCGGCAGATCAGATAGCAGGTGGAGGGCGAGGTGAAAATGCTCGCCGACTCCCGTGATTCCCTGCCCTGCCCCCTGCCTTTCCCCCGTCCGCCCTCCCGTGTCCCCCTCCGCCGTGCCCTCCCTAAACCCACAGATATCGGTGAAGGACATTCCGCGCCTGCCGGTGGAGCAGGTGCGGCAGATCCGCGAGCAGGTGGAGGGCGAGGTGAAGATGCTCGCTGACTCCCTCGCCTCCCTGCGCGCCGCCCTTGCCCGCATCGATGCCTCGCGCGCCGCTGTTGAGGCCATGGCGAAACAGCAGGAAGGTGCGCAGGGATAGTGACAGTAGGAGGGGAGAGAAGCGGGGGGTGATACGGAGGTGGGATGGGGGAGACGCTACAAACACAGTGGAGTGGGGGAGGTGGGGTGAAGCTGCTTGCCGACTCCCTCAATTCCCTGCGTGCTGCCCTCGCCCGTGTTGATGCCTCGCGCGCTGCTGTGGAAGCCATGGCGAAACAGCAGGAAGGTGCGGAAGGGGAGATGGAGGGTGTGGGGAGAGGCGGGGGCGGGGGGAAGTGGGGGGAGGTGAGATAGGGCAGTGATGGTAGGAGAGGAGAGCAGTGGCGGGTGAGAAGGAGGTGGCGTGGGGGGAACGCTACAAACACAGTGGAGTGAGGGGGATTGGGGTGAAGCTGCTCGCCGACTCCCTCACCCACCTGTGCCCCGCCCTTGCCCGCATTGATGCCTCGCGCGCTGCTGTTGAAGCCATGGCGAAACAGCAAGAAGTTGCGGAAAGGGGGAATGGGAGGTGGGGGGAAGAGGTGTGGTGGGGGGGAGGGGGAAGAGGTAGTGGGTAGGTGGGATGGGGCACTGACGGTAGGAGGGGAGAGAAGTGGGTGGTGAGGGAGAGGTAGGATGGGGGAGAGGTAGGATGGGGGAGAGGTAGGATGGGGGAGAGGTAGGATGGGGGAGAGGTAGGACGGGGGAGATGCTACATAGTGGGGTTGAGGGAGGAGTGAACTCCATGCCCTATGAATCTACACACCCCCTCTCTCCCCGCCCCACCCCACCAGGTGCGAGCATGCTGGTGCCTCTCACTGGATCCATGTACATCGCTGGCACCGTCGCTGAACCCTCCCATGTGCTCATTGATGTTGGCGCCGGCTACTATATCGAGGTGACTATACCGAGGTGACTATACCGAGGTGATTATAGAGAGGTGACTCTATCGAGTTGAGTATAGCGAGGTGACTGTAGCGAGGTGACCTGTCTCGAGGTGATTGCATCAAGCTGATTATAGGGAGGTAACTATATCGAGGTGATTGTATTGAGGTGAGCATTTCAAGGTGAATGTATCGAGGTGACTATGTTGAGCTGATTATTGACTAAATCAAGGTGATTGCAACGAGGTGATGTTAAGCCCTGCTGAATAGCCCATGCTTGGTCCTGTTGGGCCTCCGCCCTGCATGTCTGCTCCGCTCGTTATAACACTATCCCGCATTCCCCCCTGTGCTCCCTTTGGGCTTGCTGAACACTGTGCATGGGGTGCATGGGGTCCCTTGTCGTCATGTGTGTCATGGTGCGCTACCCTGCACTGCCTGGGTTTCCCATGTGTGTTATGTGCATGGGGTGCATGGGGTGCATGGGGTGCATGGGGTGCATGGGGTGCATGGGGTGCATGGGGTGCATGGGGTGCATGGGGTGCATGGGGTGCATGGGGTGCATGGGGTGCATGGGGTGCATGGGGTGCATGGGGTGCATGTGGTGCATGGGGTGCATGTGGTGCATGGGGTGCATGTGGTGCATGCATGCCGGGCTGGACGCCAGCAGAAGTCAGTGGAGGAGGCGATGGGGTACTGCATGCGCAAGGCGGAGCTGCTTAGAGCCAACCACGATAAGTTCAGCGAGGTGTGTGTGCGCTCCTTCCTTGCCCCCCATGCATGCTGCACGCCCTCCCACCCTCGCCCATGCTCCGTGCCTTGCACACCCCAACCAACTGTTCTGCATGCACAAAGCGGAGCTGCTTAAAGCCAACCACGACAGGCTCAGCGAGTTGTGGCCCCCCTACCTCCCTGCCCCCTCTGCACCTCCTTTGTGTCAGTACAGTGGGTGGTGCATTTTCCCCTCTCTAATCCAGTCCCCACCTCCCTCTCTCACCCCTTCAGTTCCACTGTCTTTCAATTCCATGCCACATGCTCGTCCCCCTCTCCACCCAATTCTATGAGCAGGTAGCAGATGCAGCTACTGGAGGAGGTGCCAACGGTGCTGCGGACCAGCCACACTCCACTGCACCGCACCACACCACACATCACATCCCACCCCACCCGTAGCAGGTGGCGCATGCCAAGAGGCAGCTACTGGAGGAGGTGACGATGGTGCTGCAGGCCAAGCACACCCCACTGCACCGCACCACACCACACATTACACCCCTCCCCATCCCACCCCACCCCTCCATGAGCAGGTGGCGCGCGCCAAGCGACAGCTGCTGGAGGAGGTGACGATGGTGCTGCAGGCCAACCACACCCAACCTCGCTGCACCACATTTACCACTCCCGACCCAACTCCATCCTATGAGCAGGTGGCGCGCGCCAAGCGACAGCTGCTGGAGGAGGTGACGATGGTGCTGCAGGCGAAGGTGAGGGCAGCCGTGCAGCAGCAGGGCGGGGGAGCACCAGGTGCTGCTGCAGCGGGGGCAGCACAGGCAGGCAGGATACAGGCAGCTGCCTCGTGAGCTCTGTGCTCTGTGCATGGCCCTGCCTCGTGAGCTGTGTGCTCTGTGCATGGCCCTGCCTGCACGTCAACCATGCTGCTGTGCGCCTTTACCTGATGGCGTGTTGTGGAATCATTTTGGCTCAAGTGCACTCAGGGCAGCGCCATTTTGGTTTGGCTGTTAGCAAGGTGTGGGTCTGCAGCTGATGCACATGCTCCTCTAGATGTAGGTAGGAAGTCCCTGCTGGGGCAAACAGTACCCAGTGAACCCCCTGCTTTTGTAAGGATAGCTGAATGCAGTGGTAAATTGATTCTAGAGTGCACTAGAACTTGTGGACTTGAATAGTATCTTACAGCGTAGGGACTTGACTTGTACCCTCCGTAACTTGCTCCATTATGCAGGCACGGTTCTGTATGTTCAACCATCTGTCCTTTTCAAGATAAGCCAGCTTCTGATTCGAGCAGACAGTATGTGGAGTGTTCTAGCTGCCTCAAAACTCCACGAAAATGGCAAAAGACAAGGTATGCCTACAGATACAGAACCTACAGCACCGCACCCATATCATGCACTTCCGGCTCCTAACATAAATCTGCATTCATTTGCTCCTAGCTCAGACAGCTGCTGATGTGATCCGACAGTGTGGCCCCCTAAACCTGTCTTGCAATGCTACATTTCCAACGGCTCTCCAACGGGAACCTAGCTCAGCCAGCTGGTGATCTGAGCGGACAGTGTCCGCTTGTGCCGTGTGATGGGCGCCGCAAACGACCCGGCGTCACTCGCCTCCTGCACGTCGGGCAGGTGGGGCTTCCACATCACGGCGCGCCTCTCCTCCTTGCCCGCTGTCACCGTGGACCAGTTGAACAGGCACTCCCCGTTCAGCACCTCCACCCTCCGCCTGAACGCCTGCACCGCCGCCTGCCACTCTATGTCCTCCTCTGCTGCTGCTGCTGTGCCCGCTGCCCTTGCCGTTGTTGCAGCTGCTACACCCTGTGTCCCATGTGCTGACTTGCCCTTGCTGCTGCGGCCCACCAGGCTGTCATCCACGGCGCGCCTGGCTCTGGCAGGGCGGGAGGGGGCGTCCAGGGAAATGGCGTGCAGCAGGCGCCTCAGTGGGCTGCGGTCCTGGCCTCTGCCCTCCTGGCCTCTGCCCTCCTGGCCTCTGCCCTCCTGGCCTCTGCCCTCCTGGCCTCTGCCCTCACTGTCACTGCCGTGCTTGGGATTGTCGCCCTCACTGCCCGTGGCGTCGAGAGATATAGCGTGCAGCAAGCGCCTCAGCGGGCTGCGCTCTCGCCCTCTGCCCTCACTGCCACTGTCTTCACGGCCCCTGCTCCCCTGCTTGGCCCTGTCACCCTCACTTCGCTTGTCGCGTGCCTTGCGCTTCAATTCACTGCGTGCCTCCTCCCTGCGCCCCCCCTGCTGCTGCCCCTGCTGCCCCTGTGGCCCCTGCTGCCCCTGCTGCCCCTGCTGCCCCTGCCTCGTCCACTCATTCCCAGCACCATCATGCCACATCTCTGTGTCCATCTCTCCCCTTCCTTCCCCATCGCTCACAGGGCAAGGGCTCGCAGGGCGAGGGCTCATGGAGGCCCCCTGGTAACGCCCGTGTGTGTCATCGTGAGGAGGAGAGCGGTGTGAGGGGGCGGCAGCGTAGAGGGGAGAGTGCTGCGAGGGGGTGGCGGAGGCGGCGCAGCGCTGGGAAGGCGGAGGGGACGAGTGGGCGGGCCTGGTGAGAAACAGCACGGGCGTGGGGGGATGCAGCATGGGGGGGCGGGGTTCAGGGTGCTGCGAGGCATGCTCTCCGTTGTCAAACGCCATGCGGGGCGGGCTGAAACTGCTCCCCCTGGGCACAGCACAGGGCGGTCGTGCCAGGTCAGGGCTGCGCTGCCCCTCCGCCCTCCCCCCCACAGGGCTGCGCCCTCTCTGCGGACTCCTCCCCCTCAAGGGGCTCCTCCCCCTCAGCGGACTCAGCTGCCTCATCCTCTCCACCAGTGCTTCCGCCCACCCCTGCTCGCCCTTATCCCCCGCCTTCCCATCGCCCCGCATCTCTCCCCCTTCCTCCTCCTTCCCCCCCCTCCTCCCCCTGCCCCCCTCCGCCATGCTCAGCACCCTCTGCGCGCCAATGAGCGCCTCTACCGCGTCCAGCGCCGCTGCTCCCCCCACGCCCTTCCCACCCGAGTGCCTGCGCCCGTGGCTGCGCGTCAGCGGGCTGCTCCCCGCCCCCGCCCCTGCGCCTGCCTGCGCCGCCGCGCCCTTCCCCCCGCTACGCTCCCCGCCCGCGGTCCTGGGCCTCAGCGCGCTGGCGCAGGGCGGCGCGGCCGCCTTGCTGCATGACGCGGGGAGCGACCCGCGCAAGGGACTCGCGTGCGCGCTGCCATACGGGCTGCCATGCGGCGTCGCGTGCGCGCTCCCCAGCGGAGTCACATGCGCGCTGCGCCATCGCCCGTCCCCCGCCTTTCCCCCGTCGTCGTCACCCCCCCACGCCTCTTCCGCGAGTCCCCGTATCTCCTCCGGACTTCCGCTCAACGATTTGCACGGGCGGTGCATGCCGCGCCTGGACCGCCGCAGCGCGGGCACCATCAGCCGCCCAGGGGAAGCCGCCAGCCCCGCGCCCTGGGCCGCGTGGCTCTCCCCCGTCTTCCCGTTCGGCGCCATCCCGCCTGTCTCTCCCGCGCGTCGCCTGCTCGCTCCGCCATCTGCGTGAGCAGGGGAGTGCACACCTGTGGCAAACGGCGCTGGAGCGGCGGCGGCGGAGGTGCGGGCGTGTGGCGGAGAGGCGTCGGGGGAAACGTCGGGGAGGGCGCTGGTGCTGTGATTGACGCGATGGCGGGGCTTCACGAAAATAGTGACGCGGGGCGGGGACCGCGCGGGCACGTGCACCAGTGGCGGAACGGCGGACTGCGGATGCGCGGAGGGCGGAGATAAATTGCGCTGCAGGGGGACGGGTCGACGGGGAGGGCGGGAGGGAGCTGTTTGAGCGGGGCATTCGGAGTGACGTGCTTGTACTAATAGCGCGACGACTGGAAGAGCATGGCGATGCGCGTCGGCGATGCGCACGCAGCTGCGCATAGCATCAAAACCATAGTGTCAAAATCTAGTGTACTCGCTACGCTCGATGCTTCGAAGTAATCCCGAGTTGACAGCGTTCACAGGGTTCGTTCGAAGCCCAATTCGCGCGGTTTGGCAAAGCAGAACCGGCGGAACCCGCTCGTACCCTCACCTCATTCCTGCCGTTGGCGGAAGGCGTCTTGCGCAAATCCCGCGGAGGCTTCCGCCCCGCCGTCCCGCCTTCATCCGCGTGCGCGCACTCCGCTCCGCCCGTAACCCCGCCCTTCCCTTGCGCTTTCCGCACGAGGTGGTAACAGCGCCCCGGCTTAAGAACCCGCCCCGGCGGCAGCGGCCCCTCGCGCTTGGCGAAAAGCGAGGCGCTGCTGGCGTCGGCGGGCGAAAAGACCGCGTGGTTCGGGTAATGGCGCACGACGCTCTCGACGTAGACGGGGCCCATCAGCACGTCGACGATCGTGTCGCCCATCTTCAACACAACTTTGTCTTTTAGCGCCATGCTCGGCGCGCTGCTGTGGATAGGTATAAAATCTAGTCTGCTATGGAATGGTGAAGTGTCGGTTGGGAGAGAAATCATCTAGTCTTGCAAAGATTGTAGCAGATGAGAGGTCAGTGAGGGCGTCGGGGAACCAATTGTGAGGGCGTGTTTGCAAAATTCAGGAATTCTAGAAACGGAAAGCAGAGATCCAACGAGCCCACCGACTTTTAGGAGATACACGCTGCTGCAGGGGACGGTGGGGGGTGGGGCAAGCTTCGTTGTGTTGTGGGGCGAGCAAAGCGGACCAGGTGACGCGTCGACGCGCAAACGCACATGCCGCTGCCGAGGAGGTGAGTTGAGTGGATGGAACATGGAACATGGCATGGCATGACGACGGCTGATGCCTGCTCTGACTCGGACCGCGGCAGTTTCGCCAGCTGCGCTCGGCAGCTTTCGCCAGCTATTCTGCTTTCGTCACGCATAAATCGGCCCGCCTGACGGCGCTGGGGGAGGTGGGTGATTGCAGGTGGGTGCTGTGCTAGTGGGGGAGAAATATTCAAATTGTCCTCGCCAACTTTCGCTGGAGCTCGGAATCAATGGTCAGAATGGTCAGAGCGGCGTGACGCGAAGCACAGTAACACGCGTCGTTACCAAATTCTCACAGCGGCTTGGAGTGGATGGCAGCTGGTTGAAAACGGTTGACGAGCGGATTCAGCAAACACGAAAGCTCCGAAGAAATGTCCCTATTAAAGTTTGTTAACTGCCACAATACACTACTGTGAATCGAGTGCAAATAATGATGCTTCTAGAAACTATTTCCATGAGAACTTGGGTGATCTAGAACAAAGCTTTCCAGACTGCACTTTAATCATTTGAATGCGTTCCCTCACACTACATAAATATCATAGATTATACAACAAATCTCCACTTGTGCATGTCAAGTTTCTGGATGCCTGTGAGCAGGGAGGAGGCACAGGCAAGGAAAGGGCAATGGAAAACAACAGAAGGGAAAGGTCAGTCAACCAATTTGACTTGACAGCACTGAGGAACAAGTGGCTGGGAAGGAGAAACACGAGGAAGGGGAACTTGGGCCAGTAGAATGCGAAGCTTTTGGTGAGGGCTGTGCCTGGCACATGGTGGTGGTGCAGGCAACCAAGCAGCAACCTGCATTCCAGAAGCAGCCAAGTGACTCTTCGGAAGTGACTGAAAAGGATGTAATGAAGGCTGTGCCTGGCGCATGGTGGTGGTGCGGGCAACAGAGCAGCGACCCGCACTTTCAGGAGCAGCCAAGCTGGCAGGCGTTGGTGTGGCTGCCCTCATAAGCGCGTGGGGCGGCAGACTGCCACGTCAGCGACCGGCAGACGCCCCACCCGCGGCAATTCAGGGAGCCATGCCCAAGAGGTGGCGGTGCGACTGGGGTGATGTGACAGTGACTGCACTCATCGTAACATGCTACTTACATGTAATGGCGCGACAGCAGGGGACTGGGTGCAACCACCCACACATGGAGTATGATGGTCCGGGCTTAGTCACCCAGCAATGTAATGTGAGGCTCCTCACAAGCCGTCTCATGTGTGGGTACAGCCACCCACACTGCAGAGGTCAACACATGCAGTACAGTGGTCCGCTGGTCCAGGCCTACTCGCCACTGCTAACCATTGTGAAGCGCCTGCCGAGCCGTCTCATCACGCGTGGGTACTGCTACCCACACTGCAGAGATCAACACACGTGAAGCGTGGCAGTTCATGCTTTCTTGGCGCTGCAGACGGCAGCTGTACCTGCACAGGGTTAAACATTGGGACAGAATGAATAGATGGTGCAAAGGATTCAGGTCTGGCGTGCTCGCAAACACAATCGGAGCATAGACGCATCGCAGCATGGCCGCACGTGATCGTGGCAGCATGGCAGCATGTGAGGGGTGCATGGAGGACAAAAGCCCATTATCGAAAGATGGACCGCCATGGCATGCCACTGCGGGTCACTCAAAAGCTCCCATCGCTCGGCACCCCCCTGTAGGGCAGCGCTGTAGGCACCCTTCACTAAAAGCACAGCCAGTAGGTTGAACTGCACTTTGAAGACATAAGGCGCCATGTGCAGTGGAATGTATGAGACATGCGAGACATGTGAGATGTTCGAGATGTGCAGCGAATGCGGACACGCAGCGGGTGACGGTGCTAGTGCATTGTGTTCAAATCCCCATGGCGCACATCCCCATGGCGCACATATGCTGCAACAGACGGCAAAGGCCTTGCTACTTACATGTGATGATGATGACGTCACGTCATGACACCACGGCCCCACCATCAGGCACGGAGGACGAGGACGGGCGACCGCACAACGGGAGGCTCGGCAGCATGGCAGGCTCGGCAGCATGGCAGGCCCGGTGACGACCCTGCACGCAAAGACGGGAACATGCCATCTGAGACGAATGAGGAATAGTGGCACTCTCTCGCTCGCAGACAGAGAATAAGCCAATTCCGAGAAGGCAAGTCAAAAATGTTTCCAAGGCAACGATGATGCGAGTGACACAATCGACCGCATCTCTGGGCTGCCTTGAGGAATCAATCGAATCAGATCTTATCAGATAAGATCGGATCGGATCGGATCGAGCGCTATGGGCATCCTGAACATAAGGCCTGGCAGGGAGACAATGCTGCTGCCACGCCTCGGAAAGAGTAATGCCCCGGACACCACCACCATCACCCCCTCGCCAACCCATCACCACCAGAACCACCACACCACCAGCACCACCACTGCCACAACCACCCCAGCATCATCATCACCCCACTCCATCAAACCCGCTACCACTGACAAGCCATCGATTCACAGCGGCGCGATTTGGGCTAAACGACAATCTACGAGTGGTGCGCCGAGGGGAGTGGGGAGTGGGGAGAAGGGAGTAGGGAGAGGGGAGCGGGAAATGGGGACGCGGCGGGTTGCCGAAATGGAGCGCGAAACGGTCATCGATACAAGGACATTAGCACGCACCTGCGTCGCTACCGAGCGGGCTCGACGGAGCCCTAGGACGAGGCGCCATAGATCGAACCAACCACGTGCGACTATCGAAGCGCCTCAAAGGGAGCGCCGGCGCGAGGCGCGCCATGGATGGAATCGGCGACGGACGCCAAGATCGACGGCCTGGATCGAAGGGTGAGCTGCAGCCAGCAGAGTGCGGACTGCGCGCGCGCCACCAGTCGGCTCCCACGTGCCTCCCGCGCGGATCCACGTGGCTCCTACACGGAAGAGACTCCCACGTGGCTCTTGTAGTTCAGGCGATCGCTGATTCGAGCCTTCCATGCTCCTGCGGGTTGCGCGTTGTAATGGGGCGGGGAGGGAGAAGCGAAAAGAGCGACCGGATCAGCCAATGGCGAAGTGGCGAACCGTGCGGAGGCGCGGAAATTATCTATGCTGCTGCCCGCAGCAGCGCCCAGCAGAAGCAGCGGAACTCATCGATATGCGGGGAGGCGCTAAGTGCGCAGAGGGCGGAAAGGGCGCAGAGGGCGCATAGGGCGGAAGGGGGAATGTCCGCTAGCCCCATGACCGCGGATCCCATTGGGGGGAAGGCGGAAAAGGGAGGGGACGCGGAGGGACGATGTGGCGCCGATTTACGGGGAGAGGAGCATCAAAAGGCCCCACTCCTGAAAAGTCGACGCAGACAAGCTAAGCATTCTGAGAAGTATCGAACGTTTAGTTGTAGGGAGAGGGTTGCGAGAAGGGGGTTCCGGGGAAAGGGTTGGGAGAGGGTTATGGGGAGGGGAGCACTGGTAGGAACCACTGCTGAAAAGTCGACGCGGGCAAGCCAAGCATTCTCAGACGCCGAACGAGAGCTAAGCAAAGCTTTGAACCGGGCGAGACTGACGAGAGGCAGGGGTGGGGCATTGGGGGGGGTTGGGGAAGGGTGGGGGTGAGTTCGGGGAGAGAGTTGTGCAGGAATATCAACGAGGTCGCACATGAGAGCTGCGAGGCGCGGCGCAGGTACACACTGACGGCTGGCCGTGTGTCCGCCGGCTAGTGCTGGCCAGTTTTGTGTCGGCTGGTTGTGTGTCAGCCGACTAGTATCCGCCGGCTAGTGTCGGCCGGCTTGTGATGGCCGGGTGAGAAGCTGGAGGGCGCGGGGAGAGAAGCTGGAGGGCGCGGGGAGAGAAGCTGGAGGGCGCGGGGAGAGAAGCGGGGAGGCGAAGGGGAAGGGAAGGGAGATTGAGAATGGCGTCACCGGAATTAGTCATTCGCAGCAGAAACATGCGACTACACGCTGAATGCGACAAAACATCACAACTGCGAGGTGAAAATAGTGCGCGTGAAAGAACATGGCAATGCTTTGCGGGATAAAGGGATTGCACTGCATTGCTCTGCAGTGTGCCTCCCCCCCAAACAGCCTCAGCGCACGAGATTCCGCCCGCGCGCCCAAAGAGGAGCGCGGCGGATGCGGGAGCGCAAGGGGGGGAGCAGCCACACCGCGCGCGAAAGCACGAGGCATGCGCGAGTGCGTCAGTGTGCGCACGGTTCAAATCCACGCTGGCACCGATAAATGCATGCCGCGTGGAAGAACATCCATGCGCTGACGTGGCACTGCATGGTGCGAGCAGGGCGGCAGGGTTTAGGGTTTAGGGTTTAGGGTTTAGGAGAACATCGGAAAAAATATGGAAAATACTGAAAGAATATGAGGAGAAAAACGTACAATACCAGGGGAATCACCGGGACAAGAGCAGGAAAGTACCAAGATAGAAACCAGGAGAATGTTAGAAGCGAGGTGTACTGAGGAGGTGAGGCTTGCACAAGAGTTATTTGAGCTAAAGAAGAACCAAGATGAGGAGGTGTGGTAAGGCTAGTGACAGGGCGAGGAAGCAAGCAAGAGGGAGTGGCAGATGGGAAGGTGCAGGAATAAGAAGGTGAGGAAGGAGGGAGGGAAGGAGCGAGGTGCACTTTTGAGGCGCCTCAAAAGCGAGAGGACAGAGGAGAGAGAGGAGTGGGGTTGATTACCGTGGCTGGGCGGGAGGAGGAGGTGGAGGGCAGCTGCAGCCAGAGCAGCAGGAGCAGCTTGATGTGCTGATAGAAGGGTAGCCTGGGGGGGAAAGGGGCGTGGGATGGGAAGAAGAGAAGGTCAGGGTGAGCTAGTGTCAATGCGTACACAGCCAGAGCAAGAGGAGCAGCTTGATGTGCTGATAGAAGGGCAGCCTAGGCGGGAAAGGGGCGTGGGATGGGAAGAGGGCAGTGTAAGCTGGTGCCAGTGCACATGCAGGCAGAGCAGCAGGAGCAGCTTGATGTGCTGGTAGAAGGGCAGCGTGGGGGTGAGAGACGGGGGGTACGGAAGGCGAGATGTGCTCAAATGAGGGCTTGATGTGCTGGTAGAAAGGTAGCCTTGAGGGGGGGAGAGGCGGGGACGGGAGGAAGAAGTGGAAGGCACGATGTGGTGGGAACGGAAGACGAGGAGGGCAGTGGATGCTTTTATCAGCGTCAGGTGCGGTGAGTACGAGGCGAGGAAACAGAAGGGCGGGGAGGGGGAGGAGAGGGGGGGAGGGGTGGGGGTGGGAAGGGGGTGCGAGAGTGGTGGAACATTGAATTTCAAATAGCGATTACACATAGAGAGAGGCAGGAAAAAGCGGGGGAGGAGAAAGGGGGAAGGAGGGGGGGGAGGGAAAGGGGGGGTGTTGGGGAGAGAAAAGGACAAGAACCAGGGGAATCAAGAGGGTGATAGGAGTGAGGGAAGAGGAAAAACGAGGTATGGAAGAGGTATGGTCGTATGACTCACCACGATATGATCCTGTCGGTGATTGTCTCCACTACCCGAAAGCAACCGTACACTGCCATGCATGCAACCCATGCCATCATGCCATCATGCCATGATGTAGTGCCATGTTTGTGAATATGCACAAGGAAAGAAGAGTCGCATTTGGCACCGTGGCATTAAATGTCATGGGAGGTAAGCAGTTGCAACCGCAACTGAAACTGCAACTGAAACTCAAACTGCTACTGCTACTGCAACTGCATGAGAGGGCCACATAAAGGGACACTCACTAGCGCCAGAATTCTCAACACCCCACCACCCTCACCACTCACTGCACCATCCTCACCACTGCACCACCACACCACTCACCCGACCAGTACGCGAGGCATCTGTTGCGGTCCGCCTGAGAGCCCTCCTCAATGGCCTTGAACGAGCGGAAGACTGGAAAGCCCACGCCCACCACCAGACTGGTGTGGGTTGGGAATGGAAGAGGTTAACAGGGGGGGAGGTGAGTATATTACGTGTAAGCCCTTCCCAATGGCCTTGAACGAGCGGAAGACTGGAAAGCCCACGCCCACCACTAGACTGGTGGGAATGACAGAAAGGGAACAACAGGGCACGACAGAAAGGGAAACAACAGGGCACGACAGTGAGGGAAACAACAGGGCACGACAGTGAGGGAAACAACAGGGCACGACAGTGAGGGAAATAACAGGGCACGACAGTGAGGGAAATAACGGGGACAAGAGGGGTAACGAAAAAACAAAGGCGAAAAGTTGGAGGAGGGGAGAGAGGCGGCCCAAGAGGGGAGAGAGGCGGGCCAAGAGGGGAGAGAGGCGGGCCAAGAGGGGAGATGATGATTGACGGCACAAGGAGGGAAATCGAAGGAGGCGAACTGAAAGGAGGAGAAGTGGGGGAGGGGCGTGGAAGGAGGAGAAGGGAGGAGGAAGGGAAAGGAGATTCATACTTGGCAGCTCGGATGACGATCGACGATGAGCTGGCGGCCAGGAGAATCTGCAGGCCCACCTGCAGGGGGAGAAGGAGGGACGAGGGAAAGGGAGGAGAGGGCAGCACAGGAGGAGAGATTCATACTTGGCAGCTCAGATGACGATGGACGATGAGCTGGCTGCTAGGAGAATCTGCAGGCCCACCTGCAGGGGGAGAAGGAGGGACGAGGGAAAGCGAGGAGAGGGCAGCACAGGAGAAGAGATTCATACTTGGCAGCTCGGATGACGATGGACGATGAGCTGGCTGCTAGGAGAATCTGCAGGCCCACCTGCAGGGGGAGAAGGAGGGACGAGGGAAAGCGAGGAGAGGGCAGCACAGGAGGAGAGATTCATACTTGGCAGCTCGGATGACGATGGACGATGAGCTGGCGGCCAGGAGGATCTGAAGCCCCACCTAAAAGGGGAGAGGGAGGGCGGAGGCAAAAAGGGGAGCGGAAGGGAGGAGAGGAGGGCTCAAGAGGCTCGGATGACGATGGACGATGAGCTGGCGGCCAGGAGGATCTGAAGTCCCACCTGAGGGGCGAGAGGGAGGGACGAGGGTAAGGGCGGTGAGGGCGGTGAGGGCGGTGAGGGAGTTGAGGGCGGCAAAGGAGGACGTCTTACCCCCCTGACTGCACCCTACCCCAGCTTCGTACCCCCCGTACGGCTTACCCCCCCCCCCCTTGCAGCGGTACACCCGAGCTGAACAATGCCATCGGCGCGCTTCTGTCCATGGCCCAACCCGTAGCCCTACCCGTACCCGTGCCGCTTACTCCCCCTCGCCCTGCTCGAACGTCTTACCCAACCTCCTTGCAGCGGTGAACCTGAGCTGAACAAGGCCATCGGCGCGCTGCTAGCCTTACGGAGGGTTGCAGCTGGCGTCACCCTATCCTCTGCACCCTACCCTTGCCTCTTATCCCCTTGCTCCCTACCACTTACACCCGGCACCCCACCCGTACGTCTTACCCCTCCTCCTTGCAGCGGTACACCCGAGCTGAACAGGGCCATCGGCGCGCTGCTGGCTAAGGGAGTGTCACTGTTAGTGTGAGGGAGTCTCGCTGCTGCTTGCGTCAGGGACTGCAGCTTCTGGCCTTAAGGAGTGTCGCTGTAAGAGCCAGGAGCTGTTGCTTCTCGCGTCAAACCAAGACTATAGCCTTAGCTGTAAACCCCTATAATCGCTATTCCCATGCTACAAATCAGTAAAGGACAGGCATGGCAGATCAGTAGCGGAATAAACGAGCGAGCCTGCAAGTAGCGTCATGCACAAGGAAGCCATGGTGTGATGTGGAACCTCGGGAACTGCAGCTTCTCGGGTACAGTAACGCGGATTTGCATTGATTGGAATTTGGAATTCTGCATTCGCGCTATAAAGCAACTCTAGGGAACTTCTGAGTTACACGTTTGAAAGCCGCTGAGGGTACATTAGAAACAGAATCCAATATAATGGCATACAGATCATATTTTATAAGACCCATGTAGCATTCTTATTAGCGTCTATGCGTTATTACGTGTGGCATTATTCAATTGCATATAGAGACTGTTTGGAATCCTACAACAGAACATCCCCTCCCAAACACAGCTCGTTGCCACAACTTATGTTTTTCAGAAGATGCACGAAGGCCATGCTTTCTGGTGTGAGCATTCAGTCTCCAAGCCCCATGCTCTTTTCTCAGCTCCACCGCCTGCAGAGGAGCTCATTCAGCCCTATCATCCCTCCAGTCAGCTCCCCCTCTCCAACTCCCCCACACCCCTCCTCTCGTAACCTCCTCACATCCATCCACCCACCGCCTCCACTCATCTAACTCTCCCTCCTCTCACTCCCCCTGCTACCCCTCCTCTCCCTCGCCCCTCCTGCACCCACAGCAGTCCCAGCATCATTTCGTTCCACGAGTCCGGCACCCCCGGCAAGCAGTAGTGCCCGCAGTCTATGTTACCCCCGCCGGAATGCTCCCCGGGGTGCCCGTCCCACCGCGTTAACGACATCCCAAAAATGTCCAGAAGCATCAGCGGCGCGCCGTGCCCGCGCTTCGCCCGACGCGCCTCGTACCGCCGCGCCACATCAGCGAGAAGGACGTTGTACTTCGCCTCGGGGTAATCCTTGGAAAGCGCGTCCTCCGCGCTAACCGGCTGCGTGGCCGAACAGCTGCCGTGGAACCCGTGCGTGGGCGGCACGAGCGTCAAAACGACCTGCTTGCCGGTACTGCTAACGTCCTCGAACGGGCGGAGGACGGAATAGAGCGCGGTCTGGTACGCGTCAAAGAGCGGCACGTCGGCGTTCGGGCTCGCGAAGTGGATGTTCTTGCCTTGGATGCGCACCGACGACCACCACTGCCCTGCGCTTATAACGAATATGTCGTGTTCGTTATAGTGCCGGAACCACCAGTCGTCGGGATTCTCTAGGTCGAGCTCGCCGCCCGTGTTGAACACGTGCTCGTCGATTAGAGTGAGGTTCACGAGGTAGTGACTCCAATAGAACGCCACCGTGGCGTTACAACTCGGCCAGTGGTACACTTGCGCGTACGGATGGTTGCCCAGGACCTCGGGTTCGCCTTGCGTACCGAACATGATACACGCGAGCGAGTTGAAATGGTTGCGTACGATCGAGTCCCCCACGTAAGCGACGTTCCTGTTCCGCATCAGCTCGCACGCGCTCTTCGCCGTCAGTTGCGGCATCGCGTCGCAGCCGCCGCCTTCCGTCGCATTATCGCGAGTCGGTCGCCACCGCAGTTTTTGGTACCCTGTATCCGGCCGCCCGTGCGCGTCGCACTGCGTTGCAGCGTGAATAAACGGGCAGTCAAGACTGGAATACAGCGGCCGGTTAGCATCCGCCTCCCACATCCCGTCGCTGATGTCGCACGTCGTCGAAACGTCGCCAGCCCCCGCCGCTGCGCCAGCCGCGTTGTCGCTTGCCTCCGCGGCGAGCGCGGAAATAACGAGGGAGCGGGAAGCGGGCGACGCGCGGGACTCGAGCGAGCTGGCGGAAGCCGCAGTCGGGGAATTGGGAGCTTTTGGGGAATTGGAAGCGACAGGTTGTGAGGAGCCGCGATCATTGGCGACGCCGCTGCGACTAACAGCGACTGCGCTGCGACTTTCAGCGTGCATGCCGTCGTCGACGTAAATCTCGACCGCGCCGATGGCGGATTCCGGTTGCTCGATAATGATGGTGCCGGATAGGAGCGTCTCCTGCTCCCGCACGCCCAGCTCGTGCAATCCTCTACTGCGCGACGGCGCGGCGTAACGTGGATCTGCGGGGCGCGGAGTCGGCATCTCTCCTAGTTTTCTGCCGCGGGGGCTGTCGGTGGCTGGTCGACTTATCGTGAAACTGGCAGCGTGTGATTTTAGGGCGAGCACGATGACGACGAGGAGAGTCGCGATTGGTGCGTGACGTGTTGCATGGTGTGGAGCACGATGCAGTCTGATTACGGTCATTGTGACGGTGCCGTACTGCCTAGTAGCAGAAGCAGGAGTGATTGGTTAACCGGAATAAGCTACCGAAGAGGAACAAGCTACGAATAGCACAGTACGTAAAGATAATCGAACAGCTCTGGGAGATGGAAGACAGAACCTGGAAATCTAGATAAATTGTCGGGAGGAGCTCTGGAGCACGAGGATGCTGCTGCTGGGATAGAAGCGTGGTGTCTCGAAGGGTCGCTGAAGTGAAATCATGTCAGAATGGGAGTGAATCAAACCATGCGAGGTGAAATGAAGATTGACGAGTGAAAGTGGGAGAGTAGCTCCATACTCCAAATTTTGCCCATGCCAGGATCTCAAGTAGTTTGGCTGTTTTGCAGTTAGTGAATTGTGTTAGGCTGTGATTGGTTGACGAGGTAGAGTAGTTGACGAGAGCTGAAACGAGGGATGCGAAGCAAACAAAAATCGCAGTGAACTTCCGAACCAACTAGGCACGGAAATCTGGTTGGGTTCCGAAGCTCATTTCCCAGCAATGTGTCTCACTTGCCGAAAAATCTCATGTACAGCAATTTGTTTTGCAATTGAGATTCACGGGCAAATCGGGGATCAGTCGCACACTGAACCTCCAAGCCAACCACTCGATTTCGCCTAAACAAACAGGGTGACTCGAGCTGCAAGTGTTTTGCAATTGAAGCCAATTTCTCTTACTTGAGATCCTGGCTTGGGTCTAGATTTGACAAGCGGGGGTTCAGAAGTTTTTGTTTTGAACCAGGCTTGCCAGCGCGAAAGTGTTGGCTAACGAAAACCTGGATTTCGTGCGGACACTTTTCCTCCGCAGTAACAGTTCGCCAGGGTTTTGGGTTTCGGGTGGCAAATGTGCACCGTCGCTTTAAATTCCCCCAAACCAGCTGGCGGTGCTTGCGAGAACGGCGACAATAAGCGAAATCTAGGAGCGAGTAATCCTGATTGGTCAGGTGAAGTGGCCAGCAAGTACTTGGATGGATGAGACGAGGCGCTGAATCCGTTACCAGCTTTGGTTGCGGCAGTTGTCGACCTCGTTTTCGCCAAGTCGCCACGGGGTGTGGCGAAATTTGCCATCGAGAGAGGCGAGCAACCTGATGAGCTCTCATGGCACACAGCTGTGCACGTGGGGGCAAGTGTGGCAGCGAGGCGCATGGGTCAGCCTCACATCCATGGGGGTAGGCTGCGCGAGGATGGTGATACACTTTCTTCGTAATATTGCGAGATTGAAATGTCAACTACACGTTTTGGGCTTTCCAATGGTTGTGCATACAGCGTGCTCTTTTGATGTGCTCACTTGGTCTTGTCAAAATATATCATGCTCTCACATAGCTTGCTTTCTATTGACACTCAAGATCACACGGATACAGGTTTCCCACACGATGCGGTTCAGAATCTTCATTCCCTAGCCTATACATCTTTCACTCACACTGTCTAAGAGTACGTTCCTGGTTCGTGTCAAACTTCCGGTCTTCCGGGGATGAAACGAAGCTGGCCCCACTTCGGGTCATCCGAGACCAACTTTGGGCCTTCCCGCTAAATTTCGCCTCTGTTTTCAGAAGACTCGAAGTTTGATAGGAAGTTTGACCTAAACCTTCGGGTCTTCCCAGTAAGACGGAAGTCTGACACGAGTCAGGAACGCGCCCTATGTTGTTATCTGCCGTTTTTTTCATCCATGTTGATATTTAGAGCGTGTTGCTACACCTCGTATCAAGAGAACTTCGTATCAGGCTCTCACTTAAAATTCCCCTAAACCCAAAACCTCTCGCTAGTTTTACCAGGCGAAAAGTACATTCTTGATATGAGGTGGCCTGATATGAGGCCGTAAGAACACGCTCTTAATACCTTCATCAGTAAAGGAGAACATGAGGGCAGCGCAAAGAGGGCGCCGAGAGGGCGTTGTATGAGGTGCTAAACAGGCAAGAACAAACACACTGCACCCAGCTGCCAGAGAATATGTTTACTTTAGTTCAGACTTGCAAGATACCAGTATGATACTAGGATTTAACACAATACATGGGTAACAAGCTTTGAAGCGAGATACGTAATAGAAGCCCATCCCACTTCACCATACATGAAGTCACTTCCACCATCGACATGGCCATGGCTGGTCCTTCTTGGTCTCCTACAAATGGACCCATGCCTGCATGGCACATGCTTTATTCAGATACCTCAGAATGGGTATAAAAATGCAACCAAGCCCATCTTGCCAGATACTCATGATGATGCACGTTTGTGTGCATTCACTGCCCCCCCCAGCCGCCCTCCCTCAATCCCGCAGTGCTTCATCCAGCACCCACAGCCGCTGCAGCATCATCTCATTCCACACATCGGGCACGCCGGGCAGACAAAAATGTCCGCAGTCCCTCACCCCATTGGGCAGGAGCGCCCATCTGCCCGGATGCCCGTCGCTTCTGAACAGGGTCGGCCGAGCCTGATCCAGCAGCACCACCTTAGCCCCTTGCGTTCTCCCCTCCGCCCTCTCCTTCCCATGCATCCCCGCTACAAGCTTCCTCATCACCCCATTATAAGGCTCCATCGTCATGTAGTTCCTGATAAACCGGTCATTAAGGAACCCCGTGGCGTTCATCGGAGCAGTGTGCGGGCACTCGCTCTTAAAGCCCTGGCCCGTGAAATGGGTTGCCGAATTAGTGGGAATAACGAGCACCTTGCCTCGCATGCGGTCGCTCTTAAAGACCTTCAGTGTCATCTCCCAGGCCTTCTGAAACCCCTCTGCAACCGACAGCTTTTGGTGGGGCGGCGCAAAGCGGAATCCCGAGCCGTGGATCTTCTGCTCGGTCCACCAGTGACCTGCGGACACGTGGCGGAGATGGGGGACAGGAGGAAAAAGAACAGATCAGCAAGATTCCAATCTTCACATAACATCACACAATGATCAACAAACAGCATACAGAAGTGGTTGTATGAGCGATTTTCCGGAAGAATCAGAGAACCACGTGCGTGCTGAGCATCATAGGCAGCAGATTATTTTTCCTCACCTGTGTTTATAACGAAAATATCGTGTTGATCCAGTCGCCTCATCCATCTCTCATCCGGGTTGTTCAGATCCATCACGCCGCCTCCCTTGGGCTTGCCGGGATCGTCCAACGTCAACTGCACCATGAAATTCGTGCGATAGAACGCGAGGGTGAAGTTGCACGACGGCCACACGAACCCGCGCTCGAGCCCGAACGACATATTGATCCCCGCCAGATCCTCCGGCATCCCGTAGAATCCGTACATGAGACACGCGAGCGACTCGAACGTGTTGCGCGTGACGGAATCGCCTATGAATGCGATGCTCTTTCCCGCGACGAGGCTGCAGAGCGTGCGCGTTGTCAGCGTGGGAAGCGGGCAGCCCGGGGTTGTCCATCGGACACGCTCGAACACGCGGTCCGGCCGGCCGTTTTTCACGCAGTTTTGATTCGGGTAGATGAAAGGACACGTGGCGTCGTACAGCGGCCACGTGGGATCCACCTGCCACGAGCCGCGTTCCATGGAGCAGCTCGTGCGCTCCTTGGGATTGCCGGTACTACCACCCGCGCCCCCCTGCGACGACCGCTCCAACACCCGCTTCTTCGCGACGGGCGAGACGTCGGTTACCAGATTGTCGTCCAACGGAAGAAGAGCGGGTCCCGTGGCGCCCTCCGGCGAAGCGCGTGAGAGCATGACGTCGTCGGCGGCATCCGCGCCATCTACGGCCATACCGTCATCGATGTAAAGCTCGACGCGCCCGACGGCGCTTGGGAGTGGCGGCCGTTGAATCGGCTGCGGCTCGAACACCGCCTGCTCGACCCGCTCGATATTCTTGACCAATCCGGTGATGCCAGCTAGACGCCGCCTCGCGACGTGGTGATGAGAGGAGCCGGAGAGGGTTTCTGTGCGGTCTTGAGTGGATTCGCTGGTGTGCGATGCCGTGAAGGACTCGAGGAAGGAGGTGAGGGAGAAGGGTGTGGATGATGCTTCGGTGAATCTCACGAGCGAAATGACGAGCGCTAATAGGAGTACTTGTGATGTTAGTACGGCATCGGAACGATGAAAAACGTGCGCCATTTGTGCGAATTGAAGTATCCTCTGAAGAGGTATCCTCTCTTCACATTCGGCTACCAGTGAACTAGGGGAACCGACGCGTTTATGCTTATCATAGAATTATGGAACGGCGCGTTAGGAGCCAGACGCACACTAGCGACCTAATCAGTGCGCTGCTTGCTGCCAGTTCTAAAAGGAGAACCCGCAATCGGTCCGCAGGTTTATTTGAACGAACAACACACGGTGTCTTTCAAATCTATGGTGGTTTGCCGACTTTTGCTTATCATGGTCAGCGGCTTGGGATGGGTTGGGGTGATTTTCAGCCCACACTCACTAGTATGGCGTGGTGGTATGGTATGGTATGATATGGTTGGTGTGGGGCGAGGCCAATTTCCCCCACACGACAGCTCGATGTGCACATGCGACTCGCAGATTGTGGAACTGGCTGGCTGTGCATGCTTGGGTTGGGACATTGGCCAATGGAAGCGCGTCACGGGATCGACATCGAGGTCGATATTGCTGCGCTCTGATTCGCCTGGTTGCGTGGGCACTGCGCTGATTCGGTGTGGAGAAGCGAGGGTGGGCGAAGAAGACCAACAGGTGGAACAAGAGGGCAGAGTGTGGCTGCGACAGGTTGTGGGCGGTTGGTGAAACGAGCTGGATTGTTGGTGTGGTGGTGGGATGCGGTGGGGTGCGATAAGTTAAACTCACCATAGAGAGCATGAACTCGCCATAGTTTAGGTTAGATAAAACTATGAAAGTAGGTGCTCGTCTTAATCATCTCAGAGTAAATGGTAGATTCACCGCTGTATATATCTAACTGCAGTGAGAGGTCAGGCACCTAATTCTTGCAAAGATTCGACTCGTGGTATATTACATCATTGCACAAAGTATATGTACCGTACATACATGCCCTATTCCCTTGCTTTCAGCCACAGCTGGCCCAACAACATCTCGTTCCAAGCATCAGGCACACCATGCAAGCAATAGTGCCCGCAATCCACCGTACTCGATCCCGTATACACCCCCGGGTGCCCATCCTGTCGCCACACAGACGCCGCATGAATATCCAAAACCATCGCATCCGCCCCCACCCAACCCCTCCTCCCCCTCGCCTTCCTGTAATCCTCCACTGCACCCTTCACCACCGCATTGAACCCGTCCATGTGCGAACCCGGACGTTTAACCGTCTGATTCCCGTCAAGAGAGGGTTTAAGCGGGGTAGTGTAGGAGCATTGATTAAAGGTGACTCCTTGTGGCCAGGCACGCTGGTGGTAACCACCACGAGCTTGTTACTACATTCAGGAGAGGAGAAAGCGGAGAGTGCGGTGTTAAGAGCGGTACAGTAGGCAGAGAGGAGGGAGGTGGGGGAGGCAAAGGAGGAGTAGGGTGGAGCAAAAGGGATGCCTCCTAGCCAGAGGCGCTGCGGTGACCACCAGTGGGCTGTGGGGGGAGATAGGGGAAGGGAATGACTTGGTCAGGAGCATTGAGGGAAGGGAATGACTTGGTCAGGAGCATTGAGGGAAGGGAATGACTTGGTCAGGAGCATTGAGGGAAGGGAATGACTTGGTCAGGAGCATTGAGGGAAGGGAATGACTTGGTCAGGAGCATTGAGGGAAGGGAATGACTTGGTCAGGAGCATTGAGGGAAGGGAATGACTTGGTCAGGAGCATTGAGGGAAGGGAATGACTTGGTCAGGAGCATTGAGGGAAGGGAATGACTTGGTCAGGAGCATTGAGGGAAGGGAATGCTTTGAAGCCAGAGGCGCTGGGGTGACCACCAGTGGGCTGTGGGGTATGTGGCGAGGGAGAGAGCGACACATATAGGGAGAGAGATGGAAGAGAGACGGGGAGAGGTAATGAGATGTGCAGGAACATGGAGAGAAGGGGATGCCTCCTAGCCGGGGGGGCTGGGGCTACCACCAGTAGGCTGTGGGGAATGTGGAGACGTAGGGGGACAGGGGAGAGACACAGAAACATGAAGTCAGAGACAGGGAGAGGGAATGAGATGAGCAAGAACATGGAGACAAGGGGATGCCTCCTAGCTGGGGGCGCTGGGGTGACCAGCAGTGGGCTGTGGAATATGTGGGAAGGGATAGAGACATGGGAAGACACACAGAAAGTGATAAAGGGAGAGACACGGAGAGAGACGGAGAGAGACGGGGAGAGGTGATGACACGGGCGGCCACCAGTGGGTTGTGGGAAATGTGGAGAGGGAGACATGGGAGAGAAACGGGGAGTGGGATGGGGGGCGAAATGGGGAGAAAGATGGGGAGAGGCATGTGGAGTGGAGGGAGGCGAGGAAAGGAATCATCACGGGCAGGAACAGGCTGAGACCGTGGGTGGAAAAAACACAGCAGTTTTTCCACATTGTTTTAATTGTCACATTCCTGAGCAGCCCAGCCCAGTTCACAAGAAGCTAGCAAGTGGTTTGCAGGTGCCCCTGCCCCTGACAGGGTTTCTGGTTGGCAGCGTGTTTGTCAGACTACCTGTGTTGATCACGAACGCGTCATGCTCTGCCACGTGGCGGCCCCAGTGCATGTCCACGTGGCTCAGGTCCAGCTGGCCGCCCTTGCTGTGCTCGCCTGGCACTGTCAGCGACAGGTTGGCGAGATAGGCGCTCCTGAAGTTGGGAGGTAGGGGTGGGTGGAGGAAGGGGGAGGAAGGGGGAGGAAGGGGGAGGAAGGGGGAGGAAGGGGGAGGAAAGGGGAGGTAGGGAGGAATAGTAAGAGCCGATTTTTGAGTTGACTCGAGAGTCGCCCTTGCTGTGCTGGCCTGGCACGGTCAGCGACACGTTGGTGAGATACCCACTCCTGGCGTGCACGACGGAGGTGGGAGGAGGGGAGGAAGGGGGAGGACATGGCGGGGTACTGGGATATGCACTCCTGGCACTGCGAGCCATAGACCTCGGCACTAAGAGAGGCCTGTGGCTCGGCACTGAGAGAGGCCTGTGGCTCGGCACTGAGAGAGGCCTGTGGCTCGGCACTGAGAGAGGCCTGTGGCTCGGCACTGAGAGAGGCCTGTGGCTCGGCACTGAGAGAGGCCTGTTGCTCGGCACTGAGAGAGGCCTGTGGCTCGGCAGTGCCCAAGCCTCGGTGAGGTACGCACTCCTGGAGCATGCGGGAGTGGGGGGTTGTTGACGAGAATTCCTCCAGTTCACAGCCTCTCGGCTACTAGCTAGTGTTTCTTTCTTACACCGTTTTTCCTACTTGCTTGAAGCCTAGATTCTAAAAACTGCTCCTCACTGGAAAATGTCTGTCGATCGGCTGGTGAGACAGGTGCTCCAAGGAGAGGGTAGGGAAAAGGTGGATGGGGCAGCAGTGGAAGCCTCGCCAGAGGAAGCCTCGCCAATGGAGCACGTGAATGGCGTGGCAAGCACGCCAGCACAGCACCGTCTCCTCTCCTGGGCTGGTGGTCATGGGATGCCCCACGCACACAGGCGCCAGTAGAGCACGTGAATGGCGTGGCAAGCACGCCGGCACAGCACCGTCTCCTCTCCTGGGCTGGTGCTCATGGGCTGCCCCACGCACACAGGCGCCAGTAGAGCACGTGAATGGCGTGGCAAGCACGCCGGCACAGCATTGTCTCCTCTCCTGGGCTGGTGCTCATGGGCTGCCCCACGCACACAGGCGCCAGTAGAGCACGTGAATGGCGTGGCAAGCACGCCGGCACAGCACCGTCTCCTCTCCTGGGCTGGTGCTCATGGGCTGTGTTAAAATATATATTGTGTAGCATGCCAACACGGGTTGCCTCACTTCTACAAAGTGTGGGCAACCCAACCCACTTGACCTATGGTTCCCTCACTTCCCCAAGTGAGGTCAACCCAACCTATGGTCACTTTCATCCTTCCCTTCCAACCTTCCCTTCCAACTATGTATGCTAGGTTGTTCCTCTAATCTGATCACTTGTTCAATTTGCTACTTTCACATGGTATCAGAGCTACTTGTTCCTAGGCCTTACCTCTCCCTCCCTTCAGTTTTTTTTTTCCATGGGCCCACCCCACAGCTACAAACCCTTTCCTACGCGTGGCTCAACTAGCCATCACTAGCATACTCTCGCCGCGACCTACGCCGTCGCCGCCGTTCCCCCCCCCTCCCGCCGCGATTAGGCCTTCCTCGCCTGCGGATTCCACCGCCGCGAGCGCAACGCCGCTGTCCCCTCCTCCCCCCCGCCGCGACCCCCTGTCGCCGCCTCCCCTTCTCGCCGCCGCGCCTGATTCGGCGCCGCCTGCGCATCCTGCCGCCGCGACGCCTCGTCGCCGCCTGCCCGCTGCCCGTCCCTCCGCCGCGACGTCACGTCGCCGCGTTCCCGCCGCCGCGCCTGCTACGGCGCCGCCTGCGCATCCTGCCGCCGCGACGCCTCGTCGCCGCCTGCCCGTCCCTCCGCCGCGACGTCTCGTCGCCGCGTTCCCGCCGCCGCGCCTGCTTCGGCGCCGCCTGCGCATCCTGCCGCCGCGACGCCTCGTCGCCGCCTGCCCGTCCCTCCGCCGCGACGTCTCGTCGCCGCGTTCCCGCCGCCGCGCCTGCTACGGCGCCGCCTGCGCATCCTGCCGCCGCGACGCCTCGTCGCCGCCTGCCCGTCCCTCCGCCGCGACGTCTCGTCGCCGCGTTCCCGCCGCCGCGCCTGCTTCGGCGCCGCCTGCGCATCCCGCCGCCGCGACGCCTCGTCGCCGCCTGCCCGTCCCTCCGCTGCGACGTCACGTCGCCGCCTCCCCTTCCCGCCGCCGCGCCTGCTTCCGCGCCGTCTGCCCGTCCCGCCGCCGCGACAGCTCGTCGCCCCCTGCCCATCCTCCACCGCGACCGCGCCATCCCCGCCCACACTTCCTGCCGCCGTGACTGCCCCGTCGCCGCCTGCAGATTCAGCCGCAACTGCACCCTCCCTTCCTCCTCTCCCTACTCCTCTCCCCCCCCCTCCCCCTCCCCCTGCGCCCCTCGTTGCCGCGGCCTGCCTGCCGCCGCCGTCCCTCGTTTCGCCGCCGCGGCCCTTCCGCCGTCGCATGCGCCCCTCGTCGTCGCGGCCTGCTCGCCGCCGCCGCCCCCGACTTTGCCACCGCCTCCCCTTCCCGCCGCCGCACGTTCGCACAGCCGCCTGCGCCCTTGTCACCGTCGCTCCCTGCACCTTGAACGCCTCTGCCCTCCACCGCTGTCTCCCTCCTTTACCCCCCCCCCCCCCCCCCCCCCCCCCTCCCTCCTCCTGCCAGCGGCAGCAGCAGCGGCAGCAGGGGAAGTGCAGCAGCCTCCGCAGCAGCAACTTCACCCTTGGCCGCCGCGGGTCCACCCGCCGTCGCCCATCATGACTGCTACCCCCCCTGCCCCTCTCCCCCCTCCTCACTGGAGCAGTGTTACTCCTCGCCCCTCCCTTCTCAACACTCCGACCCTCCACTCCTCCCCCCCCCCTTATCTCCGCCTGCTCACCCCCTCCCCCCCTCCCCATCTGCGGCGTTTCCAGCAGCTCCAGCATCAGCAGCAGCAGGACTTCCAGCAGCGGCAGCAACCACAATTTCTCCAGCCGCACCCCCCACATCTCCTCCAGCCGCTGCAATCGCAGCAGCAGCAGTTCTTCCAACACCAACAGCAGCCGCAATCTCTCCAGCCTCACCCGCCACAGTTTCTCCATCCCCAGCAGCAGCAGTCCTTCCAGCCGCAGCAGCGGCAGTCCTTCCAGCAGCAGCAGCTGCCACAATTCCTTCCACCGCAGCAGCAGCAGTCCTTCCTGCAGCAGCAGCAGCAGCCACAGTCTCTTCAGCCGCAGCAGCAGCAGTGCTTCCAGCAGCAGCAGCTGCCACAGTTCCTTCCGTCGCAGCAGCAGTAGTCCTTCCAGCAGCAGCGGCAGCCACAGTTTCTTCAGCCGCAGCAGCAGCAGTGCTTCTAGCAGCAGCACCAGCCACAGTTCTCTCCATCCGCAGCAGCAGCAGTGCTTCCAGCAGCAGCAGCCACCACAATCTCTCCAGCCGCAGCAACCGCGGCAGCATCGGCGGTGCTTCCAGCAGCAGCAGCAGCAGCCCAATCTCTCCAGCCGCAACCGTCACAGTCTCTCCCACCGCAGCAGCCGCAGCAGCAACAGTACTTACAGCAGCAGCACCCGCCGCTCTCTCCCTCTTCTATCCATGAAACAACTCTCCAGTACTCTGTGTTTCCTCCCTCTCCTTCCCCCCCCACCCTGGACTTTGTCCTTGACAGTGGGGCCACCGAAACCGCACTAAAAGACGCTGGCACCCTCACCCCCCTTCCACTTCCCACCCAGGTTCATGGTGCCGACTCCAGCTTTTCCATCCCCTGCACTCACCTCTCCACCCTTCCTTGCACCGCCTTCCCATCCGGTACAGTCACCGGTCTCCACATCCCTACCCTTCGCAATAACCTCCTCTCCCACCGTGAACTCCAAGGCGTTGGCATTACCGCCATATACCCTGGCTTTGCTTCCTACTGTGATCTCTACCACACCGCCTCTGGTCGTTTCCTCCTGCGCATTCCCCTTTGCCCTCGCACTCGCCTTTACACGCTCCGCACACCCCGTCCCTCCTTTTGTCACGTCACCACTCGTGCTGGTACTTCCACCGGTCCCCTTCTCCCTCCCCCTCACCCTCCCCCTCCCCCTCCTCCGATATCCTCCTCCTCTACTCCATCCGCCTCCTCCTCCCCCCCCAAATTTTCCCCCACCCCATCCCCCTCCTCCTCTACTGCCCTCTCCCATCCTGCAGTGCTCCTACATCACAGACTCGGCCATCCCAACTTCGCCGCACTTCGCTCCACCGTCACCTCTCGCCTCCTTAACAGCCTTCCTCCCACCTTACCTCCCCTCCCCTCCTCCCCTGCTCCCCCATGCCCATCATGCATTCATGGCAAGCTCAAACAGTCCCCCCATCACAGTCATCCCACCTTCGCTCCCGCTCCCATTGACCTTGTTCACATGGATCTCTGGGGCCCTTATCCCATCCGCTCCCGTCAGGGGCACAGGTACATGCCCGTGCTCGTCGACGACCACAGTCGGTACTCCACCGTCTTCTTTCTTCACACGAAAGACCAGGTGCCGGCTGTGGTCATCAACTGGGCTGAGCAGTGCCGCAACCACTTCAAACGTCCCATAGGCCGCCTTCACTCTGACGGTGGGGGTGAGTTCATCAATCATACTCTCTCCACTTACTGCAAAACATACGGCATTCAGCAGACCACCACCCTTCCCCACTCCCCTCAGCAAAACGGCATCGCTGAGAGTCGCATCCGTGAGATCACCAAGATTGCGCGCTGCCTCATTGCTCACGCCTCCACCCCTCCCTCCCTCTGGAGCTATGCCCTCATTCATGCCGCCCTCCTCCTCAATCTCCGCTCCCACCCTCAGCATCCCTCCTCCTCCCCCACAGAACTCTGGTCCAAGGCCAAGCCTGACGCCGCAGGCCTTCGTGTTTGGGGCTGCAAGGCGTTCGTCCTCATTCCACCGGCCGACCGCTCCCGCGCTGCTGGCAAGCTCGCTCCTCGCGCTCTGGAGTGCGTCTACCTTGGGCACAATCGTGATTCCCCAGGCTACCTATTCCTCCACCCTCCCACCAATCGCCTCATCCGCAGCATTGACGTCGTCTTCGACGAGTCCACTCCCTACTACTCCACCCCTCCTCCTGACCCCCTCCCTCCTCCCACTTGCCCCCTCGCTTGGACCGACACCATCCTCCCGCCTCTTATCCCTCCAGCGCCTCTCCTCCCACCTGTCGCCGCCCCACTCCCGCCTTCCTCCTCTGCCGACGTCTACGACCCTGCCGCACCCGCCTCCCCCGCTCACTCAGCTGCACCCCCTCCCCCCTCTCCCTCCTCCTCTCATTCTCCTCCTTTCCAGCAGCCGGATCAGCAACAGCAGGGGCAGCAGCAGCAGCAGCAGCCGGATCAGCAACAGCAGGGGCAGCAGCAGCAGCAGCAGCAGCAGCAGCAGCAGCAGCAGCGGGAGCAACACCAGCAACGGCAGCAGGGGCAGCAGCAGCAGCAGCCGGGGCAGCAGCAGCAGCAGCAGCAGCAGCAGCAGCCGGAGCAGCAGCAGCAGCAGCAGCAGCCGGGGCAGCCGCATCAGCAGCAGCCGGGACAGCAGCAGCAGCAGCAGCAGCATCAGCAGCAGCAGCACCAGCAGCAGCAGCGGCGCCGTGCCACTTCCCGCTCCTCCCCCTTCCTCCTCCCTTACATCCATACCCGCTCGGTGGACAAAATCCTTGGGGCTCCTCCTCCTGCCTCCATTCAGCTCCTTGAGGACTCCCATGAGGAGTTCCTCAACATTCGGGAGCACACTCCATTCCTTGCCGCCCTCTACCTTGACTTCCTGGGCTTTCCTATCCTTGGCGCCACTACTACCCCCACCATCTTCACTCCCTCCACCTTCCAGGAAGCCATCACCTGCCCTGATGCGGATAAATGGATAGCAGCGATCTTCCTGGAGTGTGAGGCTTTCATTCGCAACGACTCCTTTGTCGATGTCCCCCTCCCTGCTGGCGCTAATCTCGTTGACGGCAAATGGGTCTTTCGGGTGAAGCAGCTGCCGGGCGAGGAACCAGTGTACAAGGCCCGCTACTGCGCCAAGGGGTTCACGCAGACTTGGGCTGAGGACTACTGGTTCACCTACGCCCCCACCGCCAAACCACCCACCCTTCGCGCCGCCATGGACATTGGTGCACGTGACGACATGGAAATCGACTCCATGGACGTCTCCAATGCGTTCCTGCAGGGCGACCTGCATGAGCGCATTTTCCTCCAGCGACCCCCCGGGTTCCACGCAGCCTTTCCTGAGAACACTGTCTGGCAGCTGCGTCGCCCCGTCTACGGCTTGAAGCAGGCACCACGTGAGTGGCATGCGAAGCTGGCTGCCACCTTGGGGTCCCTCGGCTTCTCTGCTTCCCACTCCGACGCCAGCCTCTTCATCCGCTCCTCCCCCCGCCGCTTCTTCATTCTGGTATATGTCGACGACATGATCCTGCTCTCTGACACCAAGGCCGACATGGAGCAGGTGAAGCTGTCCCTGCAGCAGCGGCTCAAGTGCAAGGACCTTGGCGCCCTCACTCACTACCTCGGCATGACCATCACGCGCAACCGCCCTGCTCGCACAATCACCCTCTCCCAGTCCCATTACATCGGCCAGGTCTTGGAGAAGTTCGACATGGCGCAAGCCAAGCCTGTTTCCACCCCGCTCCCCTTCGGTCACCAACTCGCTCCACCCACCTCCCCCACCTCCTCCCCCCACCCCTATGCCGAGCTCGTTGGGTCCTTGATGTACGCAATGATGTGCACCCGCCCCGACCTCGCCTACCCCATCAGCGTGCTCGCTCGCTTTGTCGGCACCGGTCGTCACTCTGAAGAGCACTGGAAAGCTGCCAAGCGGGTCCTCCGCTACCTTCGCGGGACCAGGGACCTTGCCCTCACCCTCGGCGGCCCTTCCCGTCCCCTTCTCTCGGGCTTCAGTGACTCCTCATGGGCTGACACGCAGCCGGACCGCCGCTCCTCCCAGGGCTACGGCTTCACCCTTGGCAGCGGCCTCATCAGCTGGCGCTCCACCCGCTCCTCCGCCATCTCTCTCTCCACCTGCGAAGCCGAGCTCTACGCTGGCACCATGGCCGCCCAGGAGTCGCGCTGGCTCTGCGTCCTTCTTGCGGAGCTTGGCGCCCCCCAGACGTGCCCCACTCTCTGGTGCGACAACGCCAGCACCATCCATCTCACTCAGGACCCCGTCTATCACGCCCGCTCCAAGCACATCGAACTCCGCTACTTCTTCGTTCGCGAGCTCGTCCAGAAGGGCCTCATTGCCGTTCGCAAGATTGCAACCGAGGCCAACTTGGCCGACATCTTCACTAAGGCCCTCCTTCGCCCCGCGCACTCTGCCTTCCTCCGCCTCATTGGCCTTGCTCGCCCGGGCGCCCCTTGATTCAGGGGTTGTTTTCTTCTTGTGTTAGCATGCTAAGGGGTTGTGTTAAAATATATATTGTGTAGCATGCCAACACATGTGACTGTACACCAATTGTGGTGTACAGTTGGGTTGGGACTACACCCAACTTTGGGTGTAGTCTTGCACTTTGGGGTGCCAATCCACCCAATTGTGGTGGAGCCCCCAAATGCAACCCTCTTGACTTGTGGGTACCTCACTTCCCACAATTGAGGTTACCCCAAGCCAAGTGGGCCTAGGGTTGCCTCACTTCTACAAAGTGTGGGCAACCCAACCCACTTGACCTATGGTTCCCTCACTTCCCCAAGTGAGGTCAACCCAACCTATGGTCACTTTCATCCTTCCCTTCCAACCTTCCCTTCCAACTATGTATGCTAGGTTGTTCCTCTAATCTGATCACTTGTTCAATTTGCTACTTTCACAGGCTGCCCCACGCACACAGGCGCCAGTAGAGCACGTGAATGGCGTGACAAGCACGCCGGCACAGCACCGTCTCCTCTCCTGGGCTGGTGCTCATGGGCTGCCCCACGCACACAGGCGCCAGTAGAGCACGTGAATGGCGTGGCAAGCACGCCGGCACAGCACCGTCTCCTCTCCTGGGCTGGTGCTCATGGGCTGCCCCACGCACACAGGCGCCAGTAGAGCACGTGAATGGCGTGGCAAGCACGCCGGCACAGCACCGTCTCCTCTCCTGGGCTGGTGCTCATGGGCTGCCCCACGCACACAGGCGCCAGTAGAGCATGTGAATGGCGTGGCAAGCACGCCGGCACAGCATCGTCTCCTCTCCTGGGCTGGTGCTCATGGGCTGCCCCACGCACACAGGCGCCAGTAGAGCACGTGAATGGCGTGGCAAGCACGCCGGCACAGCACCGTCTCCTCTCCTGGGCTGGTGCTCATGGGCTGCCCCACGCACACAGGCGCCAGTAGAGCACGTGAATGGCGTGGCAAGCACGCCAGCACAGCACCCTCTCCTGCCCCATCCCCCACCTTCCCCCTCACCCACGTTTGCAAGTACAAGCATCACCAATAGAATGTGACAGTGGCGTTACAATCCCGCCAGTGCAGCACTTGCTCGTGTTGCCCCACGCACCCACGCACCACAGAGCACTTCCATTTTCGTTCGTGCGCGTTTGACTTGAACAGCAACACCCAATAAGCCCTCCATTCCCCTTAATCTTCTTCCCCACTCAAACCCCCTCTCTTTCTTTCTACCAGAAATCCTCACCAGTAGAGCGCGACAGTGGCGTTGCAAGCTGGCCAGTGCAGCACCCGCTCCTGCTGGTCCACGGGCACACGAGCGCCGGAGCCCTCCACTCTCCCTCTTCCCTTCCAGACCCTTTCACCCGTACAAGGCTCACCAGTAGAACGCGATAGTGGTGTTGCATGCAGGCCACCGAAACACCCGCTCCTGCTGCCCCACGCTCACAGGCTCCGGGGAGCCATGGAAGCGGTGCAGCAGGCAGATGAGCGACTCGAACATGTTCTCCGTTAACGAATCGCCCACAAACGCGACGCTCCTGTTCGCCACTAACGAGCACAAAGTGTTCCCGTTGAGCTTCGGCGCGGGGCACCGAGGTTGCTTGTAACGAAGCTGCTGGTATTGAGTATCCGGCCTGCCATTTTCAATGCACTGATTCCCCGTGTGCCAGATTAAGGGGCAGTCTCCCGCCTTATAAAGAGGCCATTCCGAATCCTCCTCCCAGAACCCCTCGTTAGTGTCACATTGCGATTCCACGACCAATCCATCCAAACCCACTTTGACCTCCGCTAGTAGAGGGCCTTGATTGTTCTCCGTCAGCACAGAAGACGATAAGAACGAGGATGAGGCCTCTTTACCGGATCCCATGCCATCCGCGACATAGAGTTCGGCTCTCCCCACGACATTCGCATGCTCTATCGGGTCGTCGCCTGTTGTCGCACGCGAATCCTGCTGCGGCGCTGCGACAGGCGGATTCGGCTCTGCTTTCGCGAGGGACCCGGGAATGCGCGGGAAAAGCGCGGCGGGGTTCGATTCGCCAAGCTCCCGCTGAGTTCGAGGCGGCTCGAAAGCAGATTCCTGCTGTGCGACGGATCGCGAATGACGACCCGTTGCGAAACCGTCGCCTGGGAGAAGCCGTCGCTCAATCGAACCGGACGACGAAACTGCTCGTGCGAGCGACGATCGTTGCGCTGCAGTTTGTTGCGAGAATAGTAACGAACGAGTTCGGTAATGCTTGAAGGAGAGGCGATTGCGTGATTTACGGCCTGTGCTGGATGGACGGTGGAGATTTGACGAGGAGATTGCGACGAGATGGGTGAGCAGTAGTAACGCGAGGAGGAGAGAAGAGCGACTCATTCTGCTGCCTAAACGGGGTAGCATAGTAACGAGAACAAAACATTTCCGCTCCAATTGTTCACCACAGCATGCCGCTCCGTACCAACTCTGAAACATAAGGCACAGGCTTGTTCCACATCATCCCGCAACCTCGCACCGCTTCAGGCGGTTTGGAAGCTTCATTCCACACGCCCCCTAGCGCGTCGTCGAGTCATACGCTGGGAAACTCAGCTGTGTGACCGCTACTTGTGCGGAAATAAGCGGTTCATATGTCTACTGTTGATCACAAAGCGACTCGTGTACTATGGCAGCAGGTGGGGAGGATGCATACTCTTTTGTTGAGCCTCGACAAGAGTCGCATCGTTTCAGTACATGATTTACAGAATACGGTGTATAAATTTTCAATTCCCAGAAGTAAGATGGGGAATTGCTGAGTGTGTGCACCCACCTGGGCAGGTGCCTGTCTACAGTCCACATACTGTATCTTCCTCACTCTCTGTTCTTATTTAGAAGTGTGCATGTAGCTCAAGATTCGCGGGATGCTTCTAGTGAACCCATCCAGAATCGTGGATATATTCTGTTTCGTCAACGCCCCAAGCCTTTGCGAACAAATGTAACCCTTCGTGAAAGCGATCGCCTGAATTCGGATACAGCCTAGCAGCTGCTGCTCTGGACCGGAGCAATCCCCCTCCCCATGCCATGTCGCGTCGCGGCGCGTGGTGTGGTTGCCGTCATTCAACCGACTAGCGCCGCCGTCTGCAAGTAGTTGCCGTGCCACTGTACCTCACCTCACCTTCCTCCTTGGAAACCGCGCCCTCCTCGTTGTCCTGTCCATGGATGTCATTATTCCACTCACCATTATCGATGCTCGAATCGCTGACGTGAACCGGCAAACGGAGAGGAGCGGAAAGCGTGCTGGGCGGGTGGATTGCGAACCGCCCTCCTCGTGCGCTAGCGAATGTTAGCGTGTCTGTAACATCTGCGCGTGTTACCAACGTCTAACTCAGCCGCTGCGACGGTCTGACTAGTGACCGTTGTGCCCAGTAGTCTAAAGGGAGATCGTGGTTTTAGGAAGGCGTCACTGGCAGGCGCTCGTTTTCAGTTTTAACTCGCCGTTTTGCGCAGTCGACTAAGAAATCTCGGTGCTAGGAAGCGCGTCATATGTGCTCGCCTTAGAGAGTGTGTAACATCTTGCGCTGCCGCGTTTGCCTTCCACGTCACCAACTCCTTTTTTACGCCGCCTCGAGAACGCTCCGTATAAGCACATCGTCGCACGGGATCTGCAGCGAAGTACCGTCGTCAGTATCGCGGGTAACCATGGACCCTAAATATAGCGAGCGTCGCGATTCCATGTTTCGCGTCTCACCAAAACCGCCAGCCGACCAATGCCAATCTCAGGCGACAGTTACACCTTCGCAGCAATTCGCCAAGGGTTCGCCAAAGTCGCCAACCCGAGCAGCTGTCGCGAGCTGCGTATCCCTTCCCCGTCTCTTCGCTCTTCTCGTCGTTCTAGGGTGCGCCGGCTTGTGGCCGGCTTTTCTCCGCACCGTCACGAATCACGGCGACAATCGCGGCGCAGCAAGCGGAGATCCCGGCTCAGAGTCGACGGATAGCCTAGGGACGCCAAACGGATTCTTCAGCGTGTTTGGCGGGCCGTCCGCGTTTCGCGGCGGGTTCTCCGCGCGGCAGCTGATGGAGATGACGGCAGACGGCGCTTTAAGGGACGGAGGGCGCCGCGAGGGGGGGAACATGCTGACGTGGCGTGACGACGTGACTGTAGCAGAAGGGCAAACGGAGAAGGGGGAAGGGGGAAAGCACGAGGGGGAGGGGGGAAGAGAGGAGGGAGCGCGAGAAGCAGCGAGGGGGGAGGGGGAAGCGGAAGGGGAGCATGCGAAGCGGGGGGAGGAGCGCGCGAACCGCGCTAGCCCGTCTATGACGCCAGACACAGCGCTCCCCACGGTAGTCCGCGCGCGGGGGCGAGGGGCGGACGAGGGTGTCAGTGTTGCGGCGCCTGGAGCGCTGCGCGCTGCCTCGGGGGGAGAGGGGGAGGCGCGCGGAGCGGAGGGCGCGGGGGAGATGCGCGGAGCGGAAGGCGCGGGAAGAGGGGTGAGGTTGGGGGATGGGCAGGCGGAGGTAGGGAAGGGAGGAGAAAGAGGAGAGGGAGGCAAGGAGGGAAGCATGGAGGGAAGAAAGGAGGGGGACGACAGAGGAAAAGTGGGAGCAGCGGAAGTAGGGAGAAGGAAAATGGGGGGAGGGGACGGTGAGAAAGGAGGACCAGGGAAAGGCGAGGGAGGAGGAGAGGGAGGGGAGGGAGGAGAGAAAAGGGAGGACGGGGAGTGGGGGTGGCGGTGGGTGGACGAGAAGGACGCATCCTGGCCGCTCTACTCCGCTGCATCCTGTCCGTTCATCTTCCCTGGGCAGAACTGCCGATCCAACGGCCGCAACGACACGAGGTTCGAGCGATACGCGTGGCGACAGGGGGTGGAGCGGAGTGGGGAAGGCCGGGAGGGCTGGGGGGGAGTGGAGGAAGGGGAGGAGACGGAGGGGAAGGAGCGATCGTGGTGTGAGGCGTTGCGGGGCGTGCGGCATGGGAGCGGGGTTGGATCTGCCACACCCGTGACACCCAATGGGATGATGACACGTGTGGCGTACATAGGGGACAGCATGATGCGCAACATGTTTGAGAGCATGGCGTGCATGCTGCATGCCCACCCCCGCTGTGGCGGCAATCCCGAGGTGGTGCGCGCGAATGTGGTGGAGCGGATCATCCGATGGGACACCTGCAACGTTACCCTCGCTAACCTCAGGTAAATCCACTGGTGTGCCACACATGAGCCGGCAATCCCGAGGTGGTGCGGGCGAATGTTGTGGGAAGGGTGATCAGATGGGACACCTGCAACGATACCCTCTCGAATCTAAAGTAACCCCATTGTTGTGCCACACACACACACACTCTGAGCCGGCCGGCGTGTCCCTTATCCCCCCATCCCACCCCCATCCCCCATCCCCCCAAGGAGCAGCCTCCTCACTGAAATCCCTTTCAAGAACCCCAACCATGGACGACCTCGATCGCACCACTCAATACCTCTCTTGCTTACCACACTCCCCCACCACACCGCACTTCACCGCAATACCTCCCGTGCATAAAACACGCCCCTGTACCGTGCATCACCGCTCCCAGTCCTCCCATATCCCCCAGGAGCAACTTCCTCACGCAGATCTCGTTCAAGGACCCAACGGAAGAGTTCAAGGGCGTCACCTTGCACCTCTCACCGCTTCACACCCCCCCATACCACACATTACCCCTCCAATCCCCACCAGGAGCAACTTCCTCGCGGAGATCTCTTTCAAGGACCCCCCAGACGAGTTCAAGGGCGCCACTCTGTACCTCTCCCTGCTTGACACACGCTCCCATACTGCACACTCACCGTTTCATATCCTCCCACACCGCTCATCACTGCTCCCTGCCCCCCCATATCCCCTCCCCCCACCCCCAGGGGCAACTTCGTCACGGAGATCTCTTCCAAGGGCCCCCAGGGATGAATTCGAGGGCGCCACGCTGTACCTTTCACCCCTTCACACCCCACCGCCTCATACCGCACATCACCGCTTCCTGTCCCTCCACTCTCCCCCCACCCTCCCTTTCCAGGAGCAACTTCCTCAGAGATTGCATTCAATGATCCCACGGACGAGTTCAAGGGCGCCACACTCACCGTTTCACATCCTCCCACACCGCTCATCACCGCTCCCTGCCCCTCCAAACCCCCCAGGAGCAACTTCCTCACGGAAATCTCCTTCAAGGACCCAACGGACGAGTTCAAAGGCGCAACCCTGTACCTCTCTCGCCCTGACAAGCGGTGGAAGCAGCGGGTGAAGAACTATGATGTTTTTGTCATCAACTCAGGTGAGGGCGGTGGTGTTGGGTGGTGCTGACAGTGTGTGTGCTTGGTATGCATGCACCTTGAATACCCTTGCATCTCGCCCTGGCAAACGGTGGAAGCAGCGGATCAAGAACTATGATGTGTTTGTCATCAACTCAGGTGAGGGCGGTGCACGTTTAGTACACATTCACTACCCATGCAACACTCATGCGCCACGCTGTACCTGTCCCGACCGGACAAGCGGTGGAAGCAGCGGGTGAAGAACCACGACGTGTTTGTGATCAACTCAGGTGAGGGTGGTGGTGATGGCCGTGTATTTACATGTTTACACTTGCATACACACACACACATTGCTCTCTCTCTTGCTGCTTTTCTCTTGTCACTCACCTTCCACTCTCAACTCCCCTTGCTCCCTCGCTCCCTCACTCCCCCCTCCCTTCTTCTCCCACCTCTCTCCTTGATCATGCGCTTCTTTTTTACTCAGGCCACTGGTGGACACGTGGCAAGCTCGCAGAGCGCCACGTCAGCTTCTCCCCACCCCACAAATCCCTTAACATCCTCTTTGCCTTCCGCCGAGCCATCCGCACAACGCTGCACCGCTTTGCATCGCGCCATATGACCAACAAGACTGTCATTATTACCACCTCCTCCCCCAACCATTTTTCCCATAAGCCCTCCTCTCCCCATTCTCATGACCACACAGCTAACTCCCACTCCTTTCAGAGTACCGCACTGAACTCCCTAGAATCCCCACTCGGCCAAGACTCTGATGCCTCTAGACACTTAGCTAAGCGACGGAGATTGCTTGAGACAAGCGGTGCAAAGAAGCACTCTAAGAGCAAAAAGAGCAAATCCGTTAAGAAACGGGGGCAGTGCGATGCAGTGGAGCCCGTGGGGAGTGAGGAGGAGGCTTATAACGAGTACGAGGAACAGTGGGAGCGAGTAGAGCGGTTGAATGCAGTGGTGAGGGAGGAGGTGCAGGAGTATCAGAGGATTCAGAGGGAGAGAGAAGAGAAGGGGAGGAAGAGAGTAGGAGAGAGTGAGGCTGGGAACAGGAGGAGGAAATTACTGCAAGTGGCGGGCGATGCAGCAGCAGCAGCAGCGGAGGGGATCAGCACAGGGCAAATTGCAGTGCTAAAGAAAGGCCGGCAATCTCGGCTAAAGGCAGAGCGGGAAGTGTTACTGGATGCAGGGCGAAAAGCAATGCTAAAGGCTGGGCGGGAAGTGTTACTGGATGCAGGGCGGGAGGCCATGCTAACTGCAAACAGCTCGTTGCAAATCGTACGCTTTCCGCGACACGGAGACACCACAGGATGGGAGATACAGCAGCAGGGAAGGTCAAGACAGCAGCGGGACGAACAAGGGATGTTGCACGAGGGAGGGTTGCGGGAAGGGGAAGGGTTGCGGCACAAGGGACCGCCAGAGGGAGTGAGAGTGAAGAGCGGAAGGCGAGAGGGAGCGAGGATGGAGAGGAGAAGACGAGAGGAAGCAAGAGTGGAGAGCAGAAGGCCAGAGGGAGCGCGAGTAGTACTGTTAGAAGTGGCAGTAATGAGTGTGATGCGGCACGACGGGCATCCAGGTGCCTTCTCGGGATTGGCTGGCGGGCAGGCTGACTGCGCCCATTGGTGCTTGCCGGGCGTGCCTGACGCTTGGAACGAGCAGCTGCTAAGGCTGTTGTGCTGAGCTTAGGGAATCAGTATCAACCAGTGTATTGCGTTGCTCAATTGTGGACCGGACTGTCTGTTAGAATCTAGTAGCAGGAATGAATTGACTAGATCAGGGTTTGGTACAAATATGAAACCCTAATGGGGTTGTACCCCATATTGGCTACCCCACTACAGCCTACACATATATGACATGCATACAATTTGGCACACCCCCATAGGCAAAGTGGGGGAGAGCAAAGGGTCACAAGACTAGTCAAGAGAAGCAAAGCAAGCTCAGGGTGGATCACAACGTCACCACACACACTGAGCACAAGCAAACGGCCACAAGGCCAGTTCACATGCAGAGGTATACATGCAACAACAACAGCACAGTGATATCTACCTACCAGGAGCAAACATGCAGATGTATATATACAGATCACAGTACAAGCAGAGCCGACAGCAAGTGAGGAAACGTAGGCACAAGGCCCAACAAAGTACAAAAGCGCTGATGATCACCAGGCGGAAGTGCCTTGGTGAATATAACAGCAGTGTTGGCCTGAGTGGCCACGTGAGCAAGACGAAGCTGACCACGCTGCTGCAACTCTCGAGCAAGGAAGTAACGCAGAGCGATGTGCTTCGTTCTGTGCTCCAGTCTGTGCTCCTAACACAAGGCAATGGCGGCCTTGTTGTCTACATACAGCACTGGAGGAGAACGAGGCCGCTCTCCCAAGTCGGTCAGCAGGTAGGTAAGCCAGCGTAACTCCTGTGCAGCCATGGCTGTGGCGTAGATCTCAGCCTCACAACTGGAGCTGAGAACTGAAGACGAGCGTGTAGAACGCCAAGAAACTGAACCAGAGCCAAGGCTGAAGGTGTAACCCTGTGACGACCACTGCGTAGCCTGGTCGTCAACCCAAGAAGCGTCTGAGTGCCCAGTGAGGACAATGTTGCTCCGTCCTCCAAGCACGAGCCCCATGCCCGATGTACTGCACAAGTTGCGTAGCACCCTCTTAGCAGCATCCATGTGCACCTTTCGGTGCCGACCAGGAGCCACGTAGCGAGCCAGAAGGCCAAGAGGGTACGCAAGGTCAGGACGAGTGCAGGTCATCAGGTACATGAGGCAGCCCACTAGCTCTGGGTAAGGACCACTCGGCTCTACGGACTCGTCCGAAGGTGGAGCTGAGAGCGAGTGACCTGTAGCCAGAGGAGTGGCCTGTGCCGAGGACCAGGTGAAGCCGAAGCGCTGAAGGACCTGCTGCACCATGTGTGACTGAGTCAGTGTGATGGTGCGGCGTGCTCTGTCCCGGGTGATCTGCAAGCTAAGGTAGCTGCGCAGCTCACCCAGATCTGTGCACGTGTGTCTCTTCTACAGCTCCGACTTCACCAGGGCGAGAGCCTCAGTGTCAGCAGTGGCAAAGACCAAGTCGCCGACGTATACGAGGATGTAGAACGGCGGCAGCGAAGTGTCGGTGCGCAGAAACAGCGACGGGTCAGCAGTCGACGGAGCAAACCCAAGAGCCGCAAGTGTCGTCCTCAGTGTGTCGTACCACTCACGCGGCGCCTGGCAGAGACCGTAGACTGGCCGCCGGAGGCTCCACTGGGTACCAGGAGGGAACGACCCAGTGAAGCCAGGTGGGCGGCGCAGCCAGATCTCCTCGTGCAGGCTGCCCTGTAAAAAGTCTGTGCTGAAGTCAAGAGAGTGAAGCTCGTAGTCACGCTGAGCGGCAACGTGCAACAGCACCCGAAGAGTGGTCATCTTCGGGGTGGGGGAGAAGGTCTGGAAGAAGGCGACTCCCTCCCGCTGACTGAAGCCCCGAGCAACGTAACGAGCCTTGAAGACAGGCGGAGAACCTAGCGGCCGCTTCACCCTGAGAATCCACATGCCATCGACGATGTTCGCCCCAGGAGGGGGAACCTCGTCGACGTAAGTGCCTGTGGACTTCCAGGATGCCATCTCTTCGTCCATGGCTGTCTGCCACTGAGAGGAGTAGGGACCCGCGATCGCCTCAGCGTAAGAATGCGGAGTCGGGATGTCTGGTGCATCCGGGTCTCCCTTAGGGGCAAGCAGCATGGACACGAGATGAGGCGCAGCGGCTGTAAGACACTCAAGGTCCTCCTGCCTGTCCTCAAGGACGTCCGTGCCAAGAGCACACTCACCCCCCGACGGACGGATGACAGACAGACTCAGACTCAGCAACAAGACTAGTGGCGTAGTCTAGACGACAGGCAGCAGCAAAGTCAACAAGCTCAGCGACTAAGGGAGACGCAGTAGCAGGAATGAATTGACTAGATCAGGGTTTGGTACAAATATGAAACCTTAATGGGGTTGTACCCCATATTGGCTACCCCACTACAACCTACTCATATATGACATGCATACAATTTGACACTGCCCCCCACTGGTGCTTGCCGGGCATGCGTGATGGTTGGTATGTAATGCACAGCTGCTAAGGCTATCGTGCTGAGTTAGGGAACACATATCAACCAGTGTATTGCGCTGCCCAATAGTGAACTGCCCCCCTACTGGCGCTTGCCAGGTGCGTCTTATGCTTGGAATGAACAGCTGCTAAGGCTGTTTACTGAGTTAGGGGAACGCCTATAGTAACGAGCTGTGCGAATGCATCACGTGTGATTCCAAAATCTACAGTATGCCTGATGCTTGGAATGAAGTGAGCCACTGTTAGGGTATGTTGAGAGAGTTACGCAGAGTCAACAACAAGCCACCGTGTACCCTACAACCAAAGATTAACAACTGTCTCTTTGTACCAAACCAGCAAAACAATACGCCACACCACAGCACCATACCATTTCACGTATCTCATATAGCCATCTCATATCAGTTGCTGTGCGTCATGTGTATGATGCATCAGCTGCTGTGCTTGTGTGCAATGCTGAGCTTTCTTTCATGTTGGCAGTGGTCGTGATGAACGGTGTTGGAAACAAGTAACTTAAACGCTTTTGATGTGTCGGAACATCGAACTGTAAATGAAGCAAACAACAACGAAGCAACGGCGAGTCAACCATAGGAGGTTGACAAGAAGAAGTAACTGCTGGAGGTTACGCGAAGTCAAAGGTTAGCGACCTTTGACTTGACAAATACAGCGCGACAGCAAGGACAAACAACTGACTCGATACTGAGCAGTTGCCCGAGTCGTCACTGTATCGAACCGCAACAGCAACAATAAAACATTTATTAGTTGCACCCTTTCATATTCCTTGTAATATTATAAAAGACTTGTATTACTTTTCTATAATTAATCTATCTTGCCCTCACATACTAGCGCAAGGTGGTTCAACACTTGTCATTAAACGCTCCCGCAACTACAACACTTCTACTCAGATTTTAACCTTGAAAATATCCTAAGGGCTTTTCTCAGCCCAACAAACGGAAGACTGGGCGCATTCGGGGGTAAAGTGAGGGAGGGAGAGGGCAGAAAGGGCATACATGAGGTTGGCATACATGCATAAACCTCAAAAAGTGCATAAATGTGCCGAGTCTAATATTTATTGCATTCCACAAGTCCACAGCTCATAGCATACCATGTGAGCCATGGAATTCTCCTCCAGAATCCCAAAACATTAAAAGCTCAGAGCCTACAGACTAGATAACGCGTATAGAGAACCCTACCGGATAGAGGATTGGGCCCTTGCGTCCGCCAGCCAATCAACGATGTGCTTGTCGAAGTCGCCGCAGCCCAAATGGGTGTCGCCAGACGTTGACAGCACCTCGAACGCGCCGTCTATTTTTAAGGCGCCTGAATAATCGTCACAGATGCATGTCGCCGGATGTCGACGGCACCTCGAACACGTTGTGTCCAACCTCCAGGACTGGCAAGGGAGGGAATGACGAAGATGGGGGAGAGAATACAAAAAAGGAAAAGGGGAAGGAAAAACTTCCACACCACACCGCACCACACCACACTGCACCACACACCTTCAGGATGTAAGTCACGTCTTGGAACCCTGAGAAAGGGTTGAACTTGTTAGCAATCCAAATGTGTGCCGTCTACAAATCAGGCTCAATAAGCGCCTTATACATCGGATATACCGTCTCTGAAATATGATGCATGAACTCGTCTCCTCTGGCGCTTGACAGAAATGGCCAGTGTCCCGTAGCACTCTCTTAACAAGGACAAATTGTACTCCTCCGTTATAGACACTCGCAGGTCCAGCAGCGGCCGGAGGCGCTCGCTGAGTGCGTAGATGCCTTCTATAATCACAATGCGTGATTCTAGGACATGCAAAGTGGGGTAAAGTGGGGTGGGGTAAAGTGGGGTGGAGTGGGGTGGAGTGAAATGGTGTGGAGTGGGGAGGGGTTGAGCTACATCCCACGACTCATGACTTGGCACCTTAATTTTTCTGCAAGGAACCCAAGGGACCAACCAAACGGGGAGGAAGTGGGATGGGAGCTTGAGAGATGAGATGGCACAGGTTGGGATATCATGACATGAGGTGAACCCGCACAAGCGTTTACTTTTGAGTCGACTCAAAACCAAATAGGGAGGAAGTGGAATGGGAGCTTGGGATGAGATGGCACAGGCTGGGATATCATGAAATGAGGTGAACCTGCACCAGCGTTCAGCCATGTATCGTCCCTCCCGTTTCCCCCTGCCACACAGACACTACTCCCTACGCCACCCCCTGCATCGCTCCCTGCGCCACTTCCTGTGGGGGAGACACTTTCACACTCACCTTCCATTGTAGAGATCTTCGCCCCACCCACTTCCCGCTTCCCACTCCGCCCTGCCCACCTAAACCCCACTTTATTCCCCTCACCTGCACCCCACGCACGTCAGGGTCCTCGCTAGTGCCAGAACCCGCCTAACGCATCAGACGGGCCCTTCGGGCCCATCTTCTGCATCAGACATTTTTGTTTATTGTTGTCTTTTGCATCAGATATTTTATTTTGTCCTATCTTAATAATCAGACATTTGAAAAAAGCCTAGGGTATGTTAAACAACTAGATTCTAGTCATGTTAGGTCCTGTCCTAGCCTACGAGTCTCTGAGCATTACACCTTAGCTACTCTACTCTGTGTCAGAGTCACTGGTGAGGGTAAGGGTTGCACGAACATCCAGGCCATCATCTTCACTATCGATTTCTAGCACCTTGTCCCTCTTGTGTCGCTTCTTTACAGCAGGGTATGCCTTCTCGGCTGCCTCTATCTCTGGTGCTTGGTCATCTGCTTCTGCCGCTAGCCCCTTGCGTTTACTGCCCTTAGCCACACCACTGACTTCCTTTGCAGGGCGCCGCGGCTTTGCGCCACACCACAGCTTCACTGCAGGGGAGAGATGCACATGAGATCAGCAAGCCCGGCGTCGCACTGGTTGCCACGAAGCCAGGACTTGATGACATTCTGGCGACTGAAACCACGCTCGCACTCCACTGTGGTGAGCGGTAACACAGCCATGGCCATCCACAAGCGGACAAGGTTCGGGTACGACGTCTCCCAGTTACCGCTCCGCAGCATGTTCTTGAGGCCTCCGTGAAAATTTTGATCCTTGTATTGGGCGTACATCATCCATGTGAACCGCGGCAGCTCCCGTTCGGCCTTCTTCTAGCTGATACCTAGCAGGCACAAGGAAACGAAACAAGCAGACAGTTCTGTGAGAGGTAAACAATGTACACATCCCCTCGTAACAAATCAACACGTAATGAGTTTGGCGGCAAGGCATATGCATACCAGGCAAGGCACATGAATCGCCGTTGAAGAGCATGCAAAGGGAGCGGAACCACTCCCCAATGACGCGATCACGCTTGGCAGCACCATCTGGATACGCGTCGGGCAGGAAGAGCTTGGAACCAGCCATGGTCTTTTAGCTCTTAAACCGGAACTTGAGTCGACCAATCACCTCCTGCGCAAACTTGGTGGCAAGGCGCACATACAATTCCAGATCCGGTGTTGAGTCCACGCTTGGGATTGGCAGCTCGTGCAACATGAAGGTATGCTTGATGGCGTTGCCTTTGCTTTCCATCCCCTCCACTTTGACTTCACAGCGGGGAGGATGCGTGCGTTCTTCGAGGAATGCAGTGAGACGGTCGCTGTCCTCCACAAAATGGACACCGTACTCCACGTAGCGCGCCGTCAGCTTCGAGCATGTGTTCTGCACCATCTCCGACACTCGAGTGACGGGTACCTAAGACATGTTAAAGTAGATGATGCTAGGAAAACCCATGGTGCAGGTCCAAGCATGTATTAATACAGTAACTCACCACGCGCTTCTGAAATTATCTGTTGAGGTCGTTCAACTCGTTGAGGACGTCAGCAATGAAATACAAGAAGAAGTGAAATTTCAAACTTGTCACCACGTGGTACGTCTCCTTGTTTTGCTCATGGAGTAAGACAATCACCGCGGGAAGGACGGCCACAAAGCGATCAATGGCATCTCCACGCGAGAGCCATTGGACGTCCTTGATGTCAGATTTATATGACATAGCTACTGTAGGCTATAGTGGGGTAGCACATATGGGGTACAGTTTTCTAGGGTTTGCTTTTGTACCCAACTTTCCCTTAGTCAATCCATTTTTCCTCATTTCTTCACATGGTATAGAGCAGGTTCCCTAGTGGGAACGCTTCCTTGGGCCCACCACTGAAACCTTTTTTTTTTTCTGACCGGAGCGACAGTCGCTCCTGCCCGAGGCGCGCCTTGTGGGCCGCCCTTCTGTCGAGCTCTCTTAGAGGCCCCTCTCACGGCCCCTCGCGCCACCCTTAGCGGCCCCGTCGCCGCCCCTAGCGGCCCTGTTGCCGCCCTTCCAGGCCCCTTGCGGCCCCTAGCGGCCCCATTGCCGCCCCTACGCGGCCCCGTAGCCGCCCCTAGCGGCCCTGTCGCCGCCCTTAGCGGCCCCGTTGCCGCCTCCCTCCCTACGCGGCCCCGTTGCCGCCCCTACGCGGCCCCGTCGCCGCCCCTAGCGGCCCCGTCGCCGCCCCTACGCGGCCCCGTCGCCGCCCCTAGCGGCCCCGTAGCCGCTCCCCTCCCTACGCGGCCCCGTCGCCGCCCCTACGCGGCCCTGTTGCCGCCCCTAGCGGCCCCGTCGCCGCCCCTAGCGGCCCCGTCGCCGCTCCCCTCCCTACGCGGCCCCGTAGCCGCCCCTACGCGGCCCCGTCGCCGCCCTTATGCGGCCCCGTCGCCGCCCCTAGCGGCCCCGTCGCCGCTCCCCTCCCTACGCGGCCCCGTCGCCGCCCCTACGCGGCCCCGTCGCCGCCCCTAGCGGCCCCGTCGCCGCCCCTACGCGGCCCCGTCGCCGCCCCTAGCGGCCCCGTCGCCGCCTCCCTCCCTACGCGGCCCCGTCGCCGCCCCTACGCGGCCTCGTAGCCGCCCCTACGCGGCCCCGTCGCCGCCCCTAGCGGCCCCGTCGCCGCTTCCCTCCCTACGCGGCCCCGTCGCCGCCCCTACGCGGCCTCGTAGCCGCCCCTACGCGGCCCCGTCGCCGCCCCTAGCGGCCCCGTTGCCGCTCCCCGCCCCTAGCGGCCCCGTCGCTGCCCCTACCCGGCCCCGTCGCCGCCCCTAGCGAGCAGCCGAGCCGCCGAGCCGCCCAGCAGCTGAGCCGCCGAGTCGCCCAGCAGCCGAGCCGCCCCTGGAGCAGCCGCCACTGCAGCAGCCGCCCCTGGAGCAGCCGCCACTGCAGCAGCCGCCCCCGGAGCAGCCGCCACTGCAGCAGCCGCCCCCGGAGCAGCCGCCACTGCAGCAGCCGCCCCTGGAGCAGCCGCCTCTGGAGCAGTCGCCCCTACAACTGCCGCCCCTGGAGCAGCCACCCCTGCAGCTGCCGCGGAGCTCTCGCTCTACAGTGGTAGCGGCCTCGCCGTTGCCGCCGTCGTACGCCTGCCCTTCTCGCCACTGGTGAGCACTGCCCTGCCCGTACTGCTGTTACTGCTGCTCTTACTGCTGCTGCTCTTTCTACTGCTACTGCTGCTCCTGGCGTGGCCAGATGCAGCTCCAGCGTCGCCCGCGTGAGTCCCTCACCCCCCAACAGCTTCGTGCGTGGTACGCTAGTTGGGGTTGTCGGGGTGGCCGTAGTGGGAGTCGTCCTGGAGTGAGTAGTTCCACAGCTGCTTGTAGTGGCCAGGTACAGCTGCCGCGTCGCCCGCGTGAGTCCCTCACCCCCCAACAGCTTCGTGAGTGGTACGCTAGTTGGGGTTGTCGGGGTGGCCGTAGTGGGAGTCGTCCTGGAGTGAGTAGTTCGGCAGCTGCTTGTAGTGGCCAGGTGCAGCTTCAGCGTCGTCCGCGAGCAGTCCTTTCGCCCCAGCAGCTTCGTGAGTGGTACGCTCAGCGTGACGGGTCACGGGGTACTGCTCGCTGTCCGTACGTCATTCGCACTGGTGCTCGGACTGGTCAGCCTTGCGGGACGTTGGGTCACGCAGAGTCCCGCTGCTTCGCCCGTCTGAGCGACGCCTGGCGTACGGAGGTTGGCGACGCGGCTGAGCTCCCCGACTGGGTGGAGCTGCTTCGGCTGCGGGTAGATATCTATACTCTTGACTATGATGCTATCCTCACTGCTATGTATGCATTGCCTACTAGTGATGAGGGTGACTGTTACCTGTGTGTTCCGCCTGACCCGGGCATTGAGGCTGCTGCTCTAGGTGCTGGTGAGGCTGCTGCTCTAGGTGCTAGTGCGTCTGCTGCCCCAGGTGCTGGTGAGTCTGCTCTCTCAGGTACCACGTCGTCTCAGGCCTTACACACCTTCACTCTTGACTCGGGTGCTTCCCGCTCCTTCTTTCGAGACCGCACCACGCTTACGCCGCTCAGTCGGCCGGTTGCGGTCTCCCTGGCAGACCCCTCTGGGGGTCCTGTCCTTGCTCACTTCTCCACTGTCCTCCCGTGTCCGGCGGCCCCCTCTGGCACCCTGTCTGGTCTCTACCTCCCCTCGTTCTCTACGAACTTGGTGAGTGGTGCTGACCTACAGGATGCGGGGGTTCACCAGTTCACTCCTGCGAGTCAGCGGGTGACCCACTGCACGGACGCTCGGACAGGCCGACACCTGGCCACGTTTACACGTCGGCCGGGGTCGAGCCTGTACACACTGACCACTGCGTCTCCTCCAGTCACTGCGTCTGGTCAGGTAGCTGCGTCGGGTCAGGTGTTTGCTGCAGCGTCCAGGTCTGGTCCTGAGTCTGCCCCCTGTTCGTGTCGCCTCCTGTCTCACGAGACTCTCCTCTGGCACCACCGCCTTGGTCACCCCTCCCTGCTTCGTCTCCGAGGCATGGCCTCCCGTGTCCTTGTCTCTGGTCTTCCCCGGTCCCTCCCTCCCCTTCCTCCGGGGCCTGGCCCTACCTGCGTCCCCTGTGTCGAGGGGCGGCAGCGGGCTGCCCCTCACTCCTCCCAGTTTCCTCCGACAGAGGCCCCGCTGCAGACGCTTCACATGGACGTGTGGGGCCCGGCCCGCGTCCGTGGACAGGGTCACGAGCGCTACTTCCTGCTGGTGGTTGACGACTACTCGCGTTACACCACAGTCTTCCCCTTGCGCAGCAAGGGTGATGTCACTGAGGTGTTGATCGACTGGATCCGCGCAGCTCGTCTCCAGCTCAGGCAGAGCTTCGGCTCGGACTTTCCTGTTCTGCGTCTGCACTCTGACAGAGGTGGAGAGTTCTCCTCTAGCCTTCTGCGAGCCTACTGTCGTGCACGAGGCATCCGCCAGACCTTCACGCTTCCGGACTCTCCACAGCAAAATGGGATTGCTGAGCGCCGCATTGGCATGGTCATGGACGTCGCCCGTACGTCCATGATGCATGCGGCTGCCCCCCATTTTCTGTGGCCGTTTGCGGTTCGGTACGCGGCGCATCAGATCAACCTTCACCCCAGGGTCTCCATGCCGGAGACCTCCCCAGCCTTGCTGTGGACGGGGAAGGTTGGCGATGCGTCTGCGTTCCGTGTCTGGGGATCTCGGGCGTTTGTCCGCGACTTGTCTGCGGACAAGCTGTCCCCTCGTGCTGCTCCTTGCGTCTTCCTTGGCTTCCCCCCTGACGCGCCAGGGTGGCAGTTCTACCACCCCACCTCTCGCCGTGTTCTGTCCTCCCAGGACGTCACGTTTGACGAGTCGGTCCCCTACTACCGCCTCTTCCCCTACCGCACTCCGTCCCTCCCCCCGCCACCGCTCTTCCTTGTACCAGGTCCCCCCCCGGTAGACCCCCTCCCCCCTCAGGGTCCTGCCCCTTCAGGTGTGTCCCAGGTAGACGCAGTCGAGCCTGTCGAGGTTACTGGTGACTCTGGTGCTGCTGAGGGTGCTGAGCCTGGGGGTGCTGACTCTGGGGGTGCTGAGCGTGTGGGTGCTACGCCTGGGGGTGCTGAGCCTGAGGGTGCTACTACTGGGGGTGCTGAGCCTGGGGGTGCTACTACTGGGGGTGCTGAGCCTGGGGGTGCTGAGCCTGGGGGTGCTGAGCCTGGGGGTGCTACGCCTGGAGGTGCTGAGCCTGGGGGTGCGGAGCCTGAGGGAGCTGGGCCTGCTCGTGTGGCGTCTGGCGGTGCTGAGTCTGGAGGTTCTCCGGGCGCTTTGTCTCGGCGGGAGCCACTCTCTCCACAGGAGCTGCGCGAGTGGTTTGCCCGGCGCTGGAGGCGTGCTGCTGGAGCTGGAGGTTCTTCGGCTGCTGAGGGTGCTGGTGCCGCGGGTCCCGGAGGTGCTCGTACTGGGAGTACTGGAGCTGCTGGGCCTACGGGTACGACTGGAGCTGGAGCTGCTGAGGGTGTTGACGCTGAGGCTACTGCTGTCGGTCCTGGAGGCGGTCCTGCTGGGGGTGCTACTGGTGCTGCTGGAGGTACTGGAGCTGGAGGTGCTGCTGGCGCTGGTGCTGCCGCTGGGGGTACTGGTGCTGTCCCTGCTGTGTCTGGAGTCGCCGCGCGGCCTCGGCCGTACTTCGTTCCGCTCCTTCAGCAGGTTCTTGGTCTCCCGCCTTCTACTGGTCCTCCTCCTCCCTTAGAGTGTCGACAGCCTGTCCCGTCACAGTTACAGTTACAGCCGGCCTCCCCACTGCCCGCTCCTTCTCCCTACACTGGTCCTACTGGAGGTCTTGCTGAGCGTCGTGAGCCTGCGTCTCGCCCTGCGTCGCCTGTCCGTGCTGCTCGCACTAGTGGTCGTGGTTCGCGTCAGCGTCCTCCTCCTGTCCCTGGCACGCACCGGATGT